GGGTAGCAAAGTAAAAGCCCCCTCCAATCAACAAATCGTCAGTTTCTAATTTAAACAATATTCCGCTTGCGTCTTTGGCTTTGTATTCGTTGTTCAAATCCGTTCTTCAGACAAACAACTATTTACGCTGGTATAGCGGACAATACCCCGTTTATTATACTCTGGAATTTCGAACCGTCTGAATATTATTTAAGTACACAATAATAATTGGGCCCCTGTTTGCCGTTTAATAATACGAGCTAAAGGCTTTTTAGTATTTCAATTGGAGAAATTTTAATTTCAGCTACATCCGAACGGCAAATATTTACATAAAATGGCGTTGTTTCTAAACTTTGACACGATTAATTATGCAATTGCTAAAAAGACCTTCCGCGTGCTGCTTAGGAATTATGTTGCCGCCTACTTTGAGATATGTCTCAGTAAACCGAGAGTAAATGTCAAACCATACGCACTTTTTTCTTATTTCTGCTATTTTTATGTGTGTAATAACGACATCTTTATTGTCCAGCGTTCTAAATGTTACTTTTTTACTTAGAGTTCCCAAGATTTTAAAACTATACTTTTTTAAAAAATATATGCATATTATTTATCTATTTTACTGTAAAAATAAAAGGATTTTACTACGACTTCAAGAACGAGAAAAAAAATCAAATTTTTCCTTCCACGGTACTGACTCATTTATCAATGGTACTGACAAAATAAATTTGAGTTGTTTGTAAACAGTACTCAGATGACAGACATTTATTGCACCATAGTTCATTTCACAAAAGTCGGCACTTCATCATCAATTGCCTTATTTAGTAGTGGTATAATATAAGCTGTTAATGTTAAAAAGGGGTAATGAAAGGCAGTCAAGGATACATTATCTATGATTCAGCAGAATAATGCCCCCTTTATGATGGCGACCAGAATAAGCCCAGAAGCATCTATGCCTAATGAGGTCAGAACCAACAGTACGAAGCTGTGAAGTCCAATCTAGACTAACCTAGAGAGAGTCGCTATCTTAATGGTCACAACGATGGGCAGGTAAAAAGGGGATAACTATCGCAACTCGTTATCTAGTAGGTGGAAAAAACAACATCAACAGTTGACAGATATGCCGGGACAAAAAAAGTGACAATGGCTGTTAGATCTAAGTATAGTAGGAAGAACACGCTCAATTCCAAGAGAAAGACATGTTTTGTCAATTTAGGCATATAGGAGAGAGGGTGCATTTTAATCTGCTCCGCACCTACACCGGAAAGGTGTCTAATGAGAGAGACGAACCTAGATAAAATCTTATAATTCTGGAAGGAGTTTTCTTAACCTATAAACAAATCCACAGCAGGCGTTTTGGCGTCATTGAAGTTTATTACAACATAACTAAAGACTGACTTAATTTAAACGAAATTTTAAGGTTTTTTTACTGAGATTTCTGTATGGAAGTCTAAGTGCAAAAGACGCTTTTTACAATAGCCACAATATGTGTGCTCTGAAATGTAAATAATTTTCAGCTATTAAGCCAGGAACTTTTTTTACCGGAATTTAGTTTTATATTATTTTGAGCCGCATAATCCGATATTTTATATAAATCGTTGCAGGCTTGGTCAATATGGTTAACATTAAATTAATGGACTGACTGAATGTCATCTGCAAACGCTTGAACTTTAGTAGTGATTTGTAGCCCAAGCAAATCGGCAGGACTTAAAATTGATCCCTGAGGCAGTTTCTGCTGCAAATCTCAGATTCACTGGTATTCAACACTACTTTCTGGAAATGATTCGACAGAACATTGAAACAGAAGTTTGATCACAACCATAAATTTATAACTTGGCGCACAAAAGTTCATGATTCAAAGCATGAAATGTTGCGGCTGGCTAAACTTCAAGATTTCAGCAAATGTATAAGAATGTTTAGAAATGAACGGTGGGCATTTTGAAAATGAATTATAATTAGCGATTATTATGAATAATTTTTTTATTTTCGAAAATGATAAATGTATTTATGTTACTTAAATTACGCATGTCATTACATTGACTTATGCCATTTTTTCACTTTTTTAATTTGTAGCATACTGTTTTGAAAAATTTATTGCACGTCGCCTGCAGGTTAATAATGCTGGCCTGCATTTCCACTTGCTTTCCCCTAACAGAAATGTATATCGCGATATCCAGTATCATCTTTCTGTAAATTAGAAGTGCGGGGTATTCGGGCCTAGAATAAGAAAATCGATTTGTGGCTAAACGATAACACTTATCGACTTAAAACAAGAGTAATGATTTTAAAGGATTTGTGATTCTACTTAACGTAATCTGTTCTATGTTGCAAAATCAGTCTAAATAAATAAAATACAGGGAAAATAAAAAAAATGTTTTAGGTAAAGTGCCCTCTAGTGACAGATTTCTGAACCACTTTTATTTTGTAATGATGACTTGCTAAATCAGGGCTGTGCGTAACATAACAGCTTATTACATTGAGAATTAAGTCTACTGCATTAAAAATAAAATTTGAAAAAATGCATTTTGACAAGCTACAACTCGTAAAATATTACGATTTCGAATTTTTGTTACATAATTTACTACCATTATTTTACCATTAACTTAATTTCCGAACATCCTATATAACTTTAGGCAGAGGCTTGGTCAGGTAGAGAAAAAACCGCACGTTTACGCGATTTTATTTTAAAATTTGAACCTAATCAACGAATTTTCTCCCCTCAATCCTTAAGGACTGAGGTTTTTGTCGCGTTCGCGGATCATTGAATCCCTGGTGGTTTGCGGTTTTCGTTTGACGTTATCGCGAGTCCCGCTCGCGTCGTAAACAGAACTATCGTCCCGTTTCGAATAACTTTAATCACGCACCCGAAATCTGCAAATTAGATAAATTTTTATCGTCCGAATTCGCAGCTAAATAGCAAAATTTGCCGTAAACGCTGAAAACGGCAAATAACCGCGATTTGTGGATTTTAACGTTCGCGAGATTGAAAAAAGGAAAATTGAAAATTTTTATTATGGTCCGACTCGAGGGCACGATTAGGCCGAAATTAAATTAAATTTTTGGCCGCTCAACTCCGGTTCACACACGCGATGAATTTCATAAAAATATGGGCGAATTTCTGTGTGGTTAATGTTGAATGTTAAATAATAAAAAAAGAAACTATATTGTTTTTTATAGCAGTGAGATACTGACTAGCTGACACAATTTTTAATTCGCGTATCAATATTCTCTTAGTCTACCATGCAACAATTGTCGTAAACGACATTTGTCACGAATTTATTTGGCAAGGTGCTTAATAAACATGTGATTTAAAAAGTTCACCAAACGTGTTGCGCGACCTTTAGTTTTTGTTATATTTTTGCAAAACAACACGACCGTCAGAAGTGGCAAACGTCAAAATTCAAGGCGTGGAAAATATCTTCGAAGACATCCGATTGCTCCCAAACCCGTGCGGTAAGATCCCGGAAATGTCCGAAGTGGCTCGGATCCGTGGGAAACGAAACTGACGTGTAAAGTGACGCTTCCCGCACACTAGATCGATGTATAATTATTTATTTTACGGGAGTAGAAAAATAATATTTGTGACATGTGATACAAGCAAAACCCCATTTCGTTAATAAAATAAAAAATGTATTTGGTTTCTACCATACAACTGGACTGTTTTCAATATGGTCAAAAAATCCTTTAAAAGACTTCTAATTTTTCATTCAAAAGTAAAAATTAAATTAGATTATAATTACTTAATGTAATAATTTATGCAACGAAATGCAGAAGTTATAACGGGCTTTAACGCAGCTTACTTCGAAGGAAAGGTGCCATTGAAGCCAACTAGCTTCAAAAATTAACGTTACTCTCTCAACTTTAATAAATAAGTCCAAAAATGTATTGACTTCTGTAGATAGGCAGAAGCAAACAGGAAATTGAGAGACAAGAATCATAAATAGGGAGAATAAAAGGAAACGAGAAATACGAACAAAAGGGAAGAAGAAGATGTTATGTTTTTAAGGAAAATACTACGAATAACACTTATTGATCAAAATTTGTGTTTTTTAGATGAACTAATGGACATATGGACAACCAGTCTAGCAAAGCGAGTGATTGAAGAAGTACATCTTATTATGCTTTTCTATAAATGAGTGTTTTTATTACATTTTTGCCAGAAGTGCCATACAGTGCCATCAGAACTAACAAAACTTTAAAATACGATGGCGAAAACATTCGATCGCCTAGAGCTTAGGTACAGTTAAGAAATGTTATCGAAGCATATTTATCTCATTAACATCCATATGATACGTTAAATTATTCATGAAAATAGGGTGGCATTGCAATTTAATTGTCTCATGAAATAGAGAAACTGAATGCAGATAATGCCGCTGAACCATAGAAAGGCTATGTCTATGGGAAACTTCTTACTACCGCGTATCCCGTACATCAGCCGTACACTGGACTTTCTTCCTTCCTTCCTTTTAATGGCAATAGAACCTAGAAATTGGCCACAATTTACGTCAGCAAAATTAAAATGTGACAAAATTAAATAAATTTTAAAAAAATGTTGAAGTTTCACATAGACCAGGCTTTTGAGACAATGAATTACAATGCGAGTGTAATAATTATTACATTAAAAATGCCTTCTTTAAATATAAAGTTCTTTAAATTTTAAAATTTCATTGATGACAAGAATTAAATTTTTACATCAGTTTTTAAATAAGATTTTACTATTTACCACTCCGAATTTGAACTATATTAACATGAGATGAGAAGGAGGTGTAAATTTGTGTATCGGTCAGAATACAAATGACTGAAGATAATTCAGCAAATTAAAGCTTTTCTTTTGGTAACGTTTTCCGTTAATATATTTTTCATACCCTTGGTAAACATTAGTTAAAACAAAAATAGGAATTTTTAATTTCAATTCCTAGTCCAGTTCCATGTTACTTCCTTTCTGTGCAATACAATGAACGAACGAATATTTGGTGAAGCAATATACAATATCCATATACTTATCGAAATATTTTCAATTCCAGGCAAATTTGACTCACTTGAGTCGCAACACCTTCGTCCCGGGTATCGGTATGGGGATCGCCAAGTGTCCATATGACCCCGCGGACAACTCTACCGCGGTATGGGTAGAACGGGGCAATCCGGGAGATCTACCCGGACTATACTCAGGTAAATTTAGACACGTAAAACTATGTTAGTGACCGGTATTCGTATTTTTTGTGGGTCTAACTTCGGCTTCAATTTTTCAGGAACCAATGCCGAGTTCACGAAAGCCGATACGGTAATCTTCCGTACTGACTTGCATAATTTAACTACAGGCAGAAAAGAATACAGCTTCAAGAGGACTTTGAAATACGATTCCAAGTGGCTGGACAGTAAGTACAAACCGTTATTTTGCTTTGTTTATGTTAGAATATTCGCATAGAACTTTGTCTGCGATATACTTGGTTTTATTTACTGCGTTAACATCTTCAGTTTGGAAACGAGACGAAAATTTCTTAGCAGAATTTTTTCCAATGGAGAGAAACTTTTGCTTTTTTTGTCAGTACCTCCATATTAGACGTTTGTAAAGATAAATTGGATTAGTTAGTAAACCTCAGCGAAAATGCTGCCATAAAGTCACGAAAATAATAATACCCTCCAGCCAATCATTTTAGTCACCTTAATGTAAGGAAATAACACAGAGGTATGATGAATTGATGGCAATTACCTGGAATCTATTTCCTAAAGGGTGACCGAACCACAACCCTTTCAAAAATCAAAATATAAATGGGAAATGAATCCCCGGCAATGGTAGTGGGACAATCCACAATAAAGGCAGGCCAAAGATTTCTTCGGAAGTCCGTTAGCCAAATTTACAGTAGATCCTTGAAAAGGGAAGACTGTAAGAGTAATGGTATTGACGGTCACTCCCGGCTGAAGGGACATCCAAGCCTAATGAGGGTGGAAGAGAACACTGATTGCAGATCTTGCCGAGAAGGGTGAACCAGTCGCACATGTGTAATGCCAATGTGCCACCTATCTTTTGTTGGGCGTAACCAAACCAGAGGCAACAAGCTACACCAAGGAGCCACGACATCGAAGCTGTGGACTCTAATCAGAGAGACGAATCTAGATAAAACTATATAACTATAAACGGAGTCACAATAGTCGCCATGAAAGGCTAAGTTCTAACTCTCAAAATCTAAATCAGAATCTGCCATCCAAATGAGGTATTAGAGTAGTAGAATATTTTACAAGACTAAGGGTGTTAAAACGTAGAAATGGGGTTTATTTTTGCGATGCAACTTCGTTATACATTTTTTCGTTTTTTATCATTCGTAAATTATCAAAAGACAATCGTTCTGTTTCTCCAAGTGAATCGAGACGGCAATTCTAAATTGTCCAACTTCAGACGGCGCACACATGTCGAGTTATTTGACTAAAAGGACGTAAGTTAATATCCGCCGAAACTCCGGACTTTCATATTCCGTCCGGAACGAGATATTTCTCGCCCGCGAGTCGACGAATTTATGACGTCTTCGAGCCTACGTGACGTGTAATCATATATCCCGCATATTATGAAATAGTTAGTGAGACGGCGTCCAATTTGAGAAAAATGCCTCGTTTCGTCCTATGTGACCCTTCGTTCGAAATATTCGTCCTTTGGCACTTTTCCCTCAGGCCACTCTCCGGACGTTTATTTTTGGGAATTCTTGAAGATCACTCCTGAAATTTGATCCGATCACGCAAGAATGTTCATCGGCGGCATTAGCTATTTTCGTATAAGCAATTAAGACGGGTCTTTTGCAAAATGCGTAAGACGTTTCCGATATTTGTCTAGGAGCACCGTGTTGTTTAAAGTACCTGGTTGGACTTCATTAAGTCTTACTTTATCCGTAGATTTCCTGCCACATTAAGAAATATTTACATTTACGACAAATCGATGAATAGGAGAAACTATTCAAATAAATATTACCAGACAACTAATATATATCATTGCCAGCGGTAAATACAAAACTTGTAAAGATTGTTAAGATGCACAATTTAAAATTATTTTAAAGTTTACAGGGTGTCTCAAAAAACCGTGACGAATAAAAGAGGAAGAGGGCGAAATTGCGTATGGTTCGATCGACGTTTACAGTGGTATTGTTTGTTAGTTAGGTTAATCTTTGGGTGGAAAGAGTCAGTTTCATAATCCGTAACACATAATGTAGCAAATATACTGTGGGACCTTCAAATTGAATAAATAGAATTCTGAACACCATGACAGACGTAGTATTTTATGTCTGTCATGGTATTAAGCATCAGTTAGTTAATCCCAACACCAAGTTCTGATTTTTAACTTTTACAATTGATCATTAAGTAGTATAATTAAAGAAAAAGACTGTAATTGGAAGAAAAATAATGCAAGGATAGAGCTTTTAAGAGGATGAAATTTTTAAATTCGTACAAGCAAGAAAAAGCAGGTCCTAATCTTCAGTTTTATTTTCTTTGTACTGATGAGGCGTGAATATTTAAAAATCGTACAATTCGTCTTGGCAAGATATTATTATAAAGACTGTAAAAACCACTGAAGTTCATACAAAAGGTAAGTAAAATTTCGATAAACGTCACTCTACTTACTGTCTAGACCATTTTTTTAATTTTAGCTTATAGAACATAATATTTAAATTGTCTGATATGTTGCATAACATTTTTCTGTGTATTAGTTATTGGGAACATTTTTGCAAAACAACACGAATACATTCACTGAGATGACCGTCAGAATTTACAAACGTCAAAATTCAAACCGTGCGGTAAAATTTCCGAAAACAGCCGATTGCTGCCAAACCCGTGCGATAAAATTGCGGAAATGTCCGAAGTGGCTCGGATCCGTGGGAAACGAAACTGACATGGTAAGGTGACGCTTTCCGCACGCTAGATCGGTGTGTAATTAGGTATTTTATAGACGGGAGTAGAAAAAGTTCTTTGTCCTGTTCATTTTTTACTCTTAACAGAGTTCTATTGGCTAATCATTTGCTGTCATATCCAACTAATAAAAAGTTAGTTTGTTTTTTTCAAAATTTTATGCCCGGTTTCATGAGCGTGTTTGGCAACAGCTGATAAGTTTGTCTTAGTCGTAAGGCTCTTTCGTGTTCTTTGAGCATAGTTTTTATTTTTCGTCCGGTCTCTCCAATGTATCCTTTGCCGCATATGCATGGAATCCTGTAAACTCCTGGCATCTCAAATGTAATTTTGTCTTTGACGGACCGCAGATGTTGAGAGATTTTTGGACAAGTGGTAAATTTGGTTTTGACGTTATACTTCTTTAGAACTTTTGAATGTAAGGAAGGACCACAGTGGCAAGTGTATTGGAAGGTTGTGGTGAAGTTTATTTTTTGATGGAACGCTTAATATCTTTAATGTGGAAGTTTCTTTGAAAAATTAAGTTGTTTAATTGGTCTTAGAAAAATTAAAATAAATCGCAAAGTATTAAAAATAGCTTTATGACATACTTAATGAAAGTTGTAGGATTTTGTAAGATCTTTCGGAAAAAATACTAATAATATATTATATATATATAATATATAAAATTCTTCAAATATATTCGTTTATTTTGCATACATCTTTTACGTCATCTTCGAATAATCATATAACAATAGACTGCCGCATTTCGCAACACCCGAATCGCCTGCTTTTGAATTTCAAAGTGAGGTTATCATGGCCCTAATAGTAGTATGGTATTTTAGTAATAGTATTATTAGCACTTTACTGCGTTCTGCCTGACAGTGAGGGAAGTGCATTTTATTAATGATTTTGAACATTTCTTATTATATTTCGTCAGTTATTTAAAAGAACTTCCAATGCTTCCTCGCAAACCTGATTGCGATCCCCATATTGGCAATGTGCGACATGAATCGGTCAAAGTATTCTTCATTAGTGGCTTCCGATTCTGACATTTAGCGCGATATTAACACCAGACCGAAGTGAAACGGCAAAAGGACAATACAGTTCCCGATTTGCTTCGTTTTCGACCTCGAGTTTCGCAATCATCATCCCCCTATAATTTTTTGCGGATTAAACGCTTTCGCCCCGTTGGCGTTTTATAATCGCACGTCGCTGGCCCGTGCGAACGGCACAGCTGGGGGATTACTCCCGCGCGTACGTGCTCCCGTAATAGGTAACAGGATACTCAAAAGGTATTTCGGGATGCCGTTCGAACACCGTCTCCGATCTCCCCCCGTTGTCAGTCAAAGCGGAATTATTATGACTACACGCATGAATTGGAACCCGAAAGTTCAGGTGTCGTGATTACACGGCGTCGGGTGGCGAGGACGCGTCGTGACGTCACTCGCAACAAATATTCGCGTATATCGTTTAGCTAACACGTTGTGTGTCCCCCCCTCTCCTGCCCCGCTTATCACGATCGATGCATAATTTTTGCTATTGTGATTTACCATTCATCATGACATTTATGATATTGTTCTATCAGCGACACCACTTTTTGCTAAGAATGTCAAAAATTATACCTGAAGGGTAGTGAATATATATGCTGCCGATGTCACGTCAAACTAGTTTATCCTAGGACAAGCTGATTTATCCGTACAGGAAAGCATTAAAAACTAATCAAAAGTAACAAAACCGAACAGACTCAACAGGTACAATTGAAAAAGAAGACAAGAAGATGACAAGATGAAGTATCACCCATAGGGCATTTGTCAACTCAACTTTAAGTTATAAAGAAGATCTAAATTATGACATTTACAAAAATATTAACAATAGATTAGATTTTCAATAAGAATCTCAAAGCACTAGACAGCGTGGATCGTCAAACAAGACAATTGATTTCAGCTTCAAATACATATTTTTAAAGTATTTTTTGTAAGCAAAGGGTTGAGTAGTTTAGCGGACACATAGCTGTTCTGTGACGAACCAAGACCAAAATATCTTTCCTTTTGGTTAGACTTAAAATATGCAGATCCATAAGAAACTTTAACTTTGGTCTTTTTTGATCCCGGAACATGTAACTAATTCTGTCGTATTTTCTAATGCTAATAGCAAATATCAGAGTCTCTCAGGGTGTTAAAAAGACAAGCTGGACCATAAACAGTATTCGAGTAGCACCATCGGAGCTCATCGCGTCACCACTTAGGTAAAGTTGCCTCAGTATGCCGTAAGAAAATTGACAGAAGTGATTGATGTATTTGGTAAACCGAATATCAGATTCAAAGAAAATATGTAACTGTGAATCATGTGTTGAAAGTCGCTTCAGTGGAAAAAGAATAGATTCTAAAATTGAGCTTGTAAAGTTAGAAGGACTAGAAGGATAAGACTTCTGGGTGTTGTAAGTTACTGTTTGAGATATTTTACGGAAATATGAATTATCCTACACGAAAATTGATTTCAGTAAGTAGTTTTGTTTCGTCTCACTCATTTCGGATAAACGCTTCGAAGAACAAGCTTGGTCTACGACAAACTGGTTTAGCCTAAGACTTATAGATGTCACATCTCTTCCCCTTTGGTCTATTAAATGCATTTTAGCACAATGTTAAAAAAAAGGAACAATACTAACACTTCAAGTGCCACTACAGCTCAGTTGTGAATGGAATAACAAAATATTGTGAAGAATTTCAAAACATTCGATTATTCGCATATGTCTCACCATTTTTCTATATTTTAGGCACTGCATGCAGCTTGGTATAATATTAAACCAGAATTTACTCAACCCAGTCTACTGGTCACCTACCTCTAACCCCGATACCTTCCACGTCCGTGGACTATTAGCGGCTCCAGATTCTTGGATTCTTGGATAGTCCTTTCAGGCAACCAAAACCCAAAAATGCGTCGACAGTTTTTTTTTGTCCGCGGATAAAAAAATATTTAATTTAGAGATTGGCGTTTCATTAACGTTTCACCCAAAACCAGACACCGATAAACTTTAAACAATCATTAGCTCCCGATAAACTGGCGAAGCGGCCAATTTAAACTTTTAATTCCTCGTACCATTAACGACGATAAATAATCCCGAAACAATCCCGTCCGCCCTTAAACGAGCTCTTGATGAGCGGAAATACCCGAGGCGCTAGAAAAAGGCGCTAATTCAAAAGTTTACTTTAATTCAGAGTTAATGTTGTCGTTTTCGATCGGACTGCGTTTCTTACCACCGGAACATCACATTCCTTATTCCATGCATTCTCATATTATTTTAAACCACAAAGCGCTGTCGTGTTTTCGTCCTACTTTTTTTTTATTCAAGTAATATACATTAGAAGATAATATTTTGTGAGCCATTGACACGTCACCTGAGCTCACGTGACGCTCAAGCTCCAGCAGAGCCCAGAACAAGCCAGGAAATTTTCTTTTTAAAATATGTTATTTGCTGCCAGTACATTATTTTATGTGTTGCTCATGTAATCTCATTTCTCAAGCATCAATCCCGTATAACAATCAACCTGTAAATATTGAAAATATTCGGAAGGGGAGTTAATTTATTATAGAACTAAAATTGCAGCATATTAGTGGCTAACAGTATAAAAAATTAAGCTATTGTTTAGAAAGCAAGAATCTCCGAGACCAGTGCGTTGCTGTACTGATTAGTTTGTAATTCAAGTTGGAACTGTAAAGTTTTTACATCTTTTTCGAAAACTTCAAATTATTTTTTCAGATTCTTCAATATAAAAATACCGAAACATACGTACATTTACTAAAGGTTAGATCGTTGAGCTCTTCTACTTTTTTGCAAAACCAGAGAAAAACTTCTTCCGTTGGTATTTAGGGCGCCCAGTTTCGATCACGTCCTGATAAGTTAATAAAACCAAACTCAAACCACACAAAACACACGATTCATATTCAATATTGTAAATTTTATGGTTTGTACAGAAACATTCAACAAGAAATGCATATTATATCGCTTTTATACTAGCTTTCTTGCAACATAAATTTCCATTTCTTTTTTTGATAAGAAAATTAAACACACTAACAGGGTCATTAGTATGTGTGAATTTTTTTGCAATTCTGAGATACAACTCCAATAATTAGTTTTTATTCGGGATGTCATCTAAGCGAAGTAAAAATCTCGTGAAGATGTAATTAAAGACATCAAACAGGTGCCGCGTGATATTTAAAGCCGCCCTGGTCTCCCTCCGTATTACAATTTCCCGATTTACATTCATTTTACGGTACATTACCATAGATATTATGCCCGGGTCCGAAATTTTTACGAACCGAAGTGGAGGATAATGCCTGTTAAAGTTGGATTTTTTACATGGGAATATATAAAGGAAAGTTATAAAAATGTAAATCGATCTTAAATTAAGCCATTAATGCCCGATGTTTACGCCGTTATAAAATCCGACGACGTTATACGCCCTACATTTTACGAGGCATACTTATTGCGGGTTCATTCTTAATGTTTAAAACTACCTGGCTGGATATTTATAAAAAAAATATGCATAAAATAGGTCGTTCAAGTATGAATGGATAATAAGCTCTATTTTGAGCGAATTACCATACATTGCTAGTCTGGTGGAGAGCAGAAACATGAGGTAGAGAGGATATAAAATAATAAATAACTATAATAAATAAAATATAATAATAATATATTAATAAATAAAATCATAAAAACTGGGCATAAGATGTTAAAAGAGAAACAGCAGGATATATGGTTAAAGCAACGAAATTAAAGTACCCTCAAGCACCTTAGCACTTAAGATGTGAAGGAAAGGTGAAATGGAGTGAAAGAGAAAGATGAAGAGAGAAAGCGGTAAAAAAGTTCGGATATGCAAGCAAGGTAACGTTGTTGTGAATGAGGGGAAGTGAAAGTTATAGAAAACGTAGAAGTTAGCAACCAAAAGATTGTAGTAAAACATACTTACTTTTAAAAGGGTTAGAGAAACTCGAACCATTCGCTGCGATATTAAAACAATATATATTAAAATATTTCCTCACCGCATAACGTAAGGACATTTAAAATCCTGACCTGTCTATTAAAATTTGAAGTCACTTTTTGTGACTTCATTCATAAAGTTGTTTTAGGGCCTCTTAAATTGTAATGGCCAAATGAAACCCGCATTTCACCTTTCTTGGCAAGCATCCTCAAATTTTCATCACATTAAAAGGATTCTTTAGTTAAAGTACCGAGTTATATTAACACCTGTGAAAGTTGGGGCATATTAAATTAAAATTTAATTTTTGTAAGCCTTTTTTATCGCAACGAAGATTAAACTACTTTAAAAAACATACTTTTTGCAGTGTTTTAGTAATACGAGGAAAGGAGACAATAAAATAGACACATTTAGTTCCTCCGCAACAAACAAAAATTGCTTGGAAAAATCTGAACCCCCTTCGAAATGAATAATTCCTGTTGATTGATACTCTTGGTCACCAAGCTTCTGTTTTGGTTAGTCGGGGAATGTAATTACCCCACAGTTTTCCAACAATTTGCCAAATTAACCATATTACAATTTTATAGCTTTCCTTATTATCCGTTCAAAGCAAAAAAGAGTTCGACTTCTTTTGAATTTTTGAGAAAGTGAGATTTAAAATTCGATTATTAGTTTCTGTTCAAAATATACTTAAATACTGTGTTTTTTTATCATCTTTTATCATTTTTTGTTTTTCTTATATATTTTTTACATATATCATGACGGTCAAATTAAAGAGTTGTATTTCTTTTTTTTTACATATTTATTGGTTCACCAATGGTCTGTTAAATACAAGAAAATGGCCTTTATCAAACTTGTTGCATATGACACGTAACAATATGTTTTTATCGAAAATCCCATTTTATGGCTGAATCTTGGCATTTTATTTTAAAGCTCTGGGACAAACCTGGTTAGGAACTATGCAAATAGCGATTTATTTTGAACCCTTTAAACAACATCGACGTCGAGTTTGCATCGTCGACGTAGATCGTCCGCTTTTCCACAACACACCGAGCGTAATTACATTATAATCCGCACGCCACGATGCAAAAGATTCACACCCTCGCGCCCATGACATTAAACTAGGTATATTAATATGATTAAAAGTGTCAGTGGCGCGTCTACTATCCATCATTAAAAACGTCCACGTTCTGAGGCCCCTCTTACGTCTACGTAATGCTCTTAAGACTAAGCCTCCGATCCAACGGGACGTTTAATATACCTTTCACGTATCTAATCCTGTACTAATCTTTCAAATTACTTAGTTCGCCCGGATCCTATTTAAGTTTTGGCCGCAAATCGATAGCTCGGTCTCACATCCAACCTTAATACCTCAATCGGGCCCGTCCAATTTGATAATTTATAGCTTTATTAGTGCCGCGAAATTAACCTCTCCTCTTTTTGATTCTTCTCTATATGGAAATAAGTTGAAAACGACCCTGCTCCGAAGTGACAAATTTGCCGACCCTCGATTGCACAGACACTTAAGATTTGTTGCCAGATCAAATCACGAACTTATTTCTAACAATTTGCAAATCGTTCTTGTACGCATGTCAAAAATAAGAGAAAACCGAAACTTGTTTCAAAGTAACGGATTTCATAGACTAATCTTGATATGCTGCTAACTTAATATTAAAAAATAACTTTGTTTACTGATACTTGTTTGTCAGAGTTAGGAATTAGACATAATTAATAATTCTAAACGAAACTGTTCTTTAATTTTTAAGTTTTTCAAAGAAAATATTTATAATAATATAACCTCTAAACGCAAAGTTATATTATGTTCATGTGTCGACAAATTGCTGGAAGACAATTGAATAGTGATTTCTAACCAAGTTCAAACTCATTAAAAACGGTATTAAAAATTATTGCTAAATATGAAAACTGGCCTTCAGCAGCGAGCAAAGCAACACGTATTAAATGATATAGACAATCTTATTATGGAATTAGGAAAGAAGCGGCAGAACTGATTAATACTAAACGACAATCAAAAGTCAAGCAGCATTCGGACACACAATTTTGGTATTTAAAGGAATTTTGTTGGATTGGACATGATAAACATGTATTAAACCCATAATGGTGATACAAGAAGCAAGGTTATTTATATTTGAGGACCAAGTACAAATTATGAGAGTATTTTATCAGTAATTTGTATTCCGAACAACATTGATATCGTATACTAACAATAAGAGATGTTCGAGGGTACTTTCTTAACTTTCATTTATATCAACATAAAATTAATAAATACTGATAACATCATGCGAAAATATCTCTTAAAGTTGTTCTGCTAGACTAAGCTATTGAATCATTGATAAATAAAGGAATAACAGTGGAAACTTTTTAAGTAAATACACGCTAACACAACTCGTTACTGCCTGTAAGATGCAGCACAACTCTCCTAGTTTAAGTTGTCGGTCAGTGAAGTAAACTTGTCTGCTACGGGACTAAACGTTTCATGAAGGATATTTTTTCAACAAAACGTGAAGCCCCCTGAAAATTACAACTTTCATTAATTATTTATATAATAAACCAAAAAGTTGTTGTTTGTATATATCCCTAGAAATCCATTATTTCAAATAATTCATATATTAAAATATTTTTTTGTAATATTCTGGCTAGGGGCCATAAGGCATACTTAAGATGGGCCCAAAAATCTCTCGCTACGCCACAGACAAAGGACTGTGCATCAAAAATCCTATTTAAAGGAAAATTCGCACTTCTAGTGCTGAGTAGTGCCTCTGAACAAACGCTCTGTCTCTCTCTTTCCCTCTCTCACACACACACACACACACACACGTCATTTCGTCTGAAAAAAGAAATAGCGCCACGGAACAAAGCGGTGTGCGAAGTCGGTGAGATAATTAAAATGGGGCTCTTTTTATTTCCGTCAGGTCCAAAGTTTTTTCGAGCCGTCTTTGATCACTACAACTACGTTCCGATGTGAATTTTTTGCACTTTACGGGTACGAATGGCGCTAAAATTCTGCGATAGTTATTTTTCGTCGTTTCGCAAGATCGTCATATGTATGAATAGTTTCACGCGTTCGAAAGATGACGCCAGTTCGAAACAATGTAAACGAAAAGAAAGACGTTGAGTACTTTTTAGAAGCCTTGTTTCTCAGCGTTTTTCTTAGGTAAAATCCCGAAATGTCCGGGTCTTTCGCAAGACACTAGATCCTTTTTAAAAATAAATTTTATTAATTAATAATTTTCAGATAACTGTCCTCTTTTAAATTTCCTGCCACCTAAAGTTAAAAAATTGATTGAATAATTTTCGCTATGTTCAAATATATGCCGATTAAAACAATCTCACATTATTTTGTTTGCAGAGCCGAATTTCGTGGGCTCATTCGACATCGGTGATTTCGTTTTGTTCTTCTTCCGGGAAACTGCGGTCGAATACATCAATTGTGGCAAGAGCGTCTACTCACGGGTGGCGAGGGTCTGCAAGAGGGACACGGGCGGCAAGAACATCCTGTCGCAAAATTGGGCGACGTATCTCAAAGCGCGACTGAATTGCTCGATTCCCGGCGAATTCCCGTTTTACTTCAATGAAATCCGTAAGTACCCATATGCTCGAATCGGTATCCTACAAGACTGCGCCGCTTTTGATGTTTTTTTTTATGTCTCATCCGTATTAATTTCAACGTTAGTTAGATGGTATGTTTCTCTGGTAGAAACGTAAGATCATAGCAATTGATGTTAATCCTTATATTGTCTGACTACCTAATCATTGTCTACCGCCAACATTTCGAAAAAGCCAAATTGCCTGTTGTTGCAGAAAGCATATACAAAGTACCAGGGGACGACACAAAGTTCTACGGTACATTCACCACGTCCACGAACGGCCTCATGGGGTCCGCTATTTGTTCGTTTAGACTGATAGACATTCAGGTCGCCTTTAACGGCAAATTCAAAGAACAGGCGTCGTCCTCGTCGGCATGGTTGCCCGTACTGACTAGCCGGGTGCCGGAACCCAGACCGGGAACGTGCGTGAACGATACGGAAACTCTTCCCGACACTGTGCTCAATTTCATGAGATCCCATCCGCTGATGGACTCGGCTGTAATGCACGAAAACGAGAAACCGGTTTTCTTCAAGAGAGATATATTTTTCACCAGGCTGGTCGTCGACAAAATACGAGTTGATATCGGGGGAGCAAGCCTGGACTATACGGTCTATTACGCCGGAACAAGTACGTACAGAGCCAAAGGTTTTGTTTAGCACCAAAACATTTTCTCATGTGATATTTTAGACGACGGCAGGGTGCACAAAATAGTAGAATGGACGAAAGAGAACGACGGTCCCTCGTCGATCTTACTGGACGTGTTTGACGTCACGCCCGGAGAACCGATACAAGTAATGGAGATCTCTAAAGGGCACAAAGCTCTCTACGTGGCGTCCGATTTTAGAGTGAAACAAGTAGATTTAGTAATGTGCAACCGCAGATACGATAATTGTCTGAGATGCGTTCATGATCCATATTGCGGTTGGGACAAAGACTCAAACATCTGCAAGCCTTATACCCTTGGGTAAGTACAAAATTGTATTTCAGCTACACACTTCGCAAAGAATAATTTTAAATTTTAAACCAAACATTCTTAATTTCAATGCAATAGAAGCATTTTTATTAATAAGATCGTGGCCAAGATTTAGAAAGTAATTGACCAAAACATTGTGCAAGCTACAATGCTTATAAAATCATAATATCCATCTCTTCTTTAAGTGTCGCTTTGTTATGAAGATTGGAAATCGTCAAGCCTATAAGTTTTCTTGATCAAAATAGCTACTATGGTGCAACTGAACCAGTCCCGTAAATTCTCAGCCACGTTAGATATTATATTGGTCAATTTTACCTTCAGTGTTCTACGGTATATTCATAACTCGAATGCCTCCATCCTTTTAATTTCCAAACTCCCAACGGTCCATGCCTCTACGCCATAAAGTAGTACCGCACAACACATAGCATCTCACCAACCTGACCTTAGCTGAGATCGCTGCTACAAAACAGCCTTCTCATGTTCATAAATGCTGTCCTGGACTAATATATTCTGGTTTTAATTTTTTCAGAACATTCGTTGTTCTTGTTTATTTGTACTTCTCAACATTTAGGGGTTGCTTTGTGTGGTTTTGGATAATAAAATACACTTGTTTTTTTTTATATTTGAAGAGAGACCATATTCCTCAAACTGTATGTAGTGGTATCTGTAACTCCTCCAGGCTAGTCTTGTCAGAACCGCCTCACTGCATATCTATTTTATATTCTTAATATGCACTGCACTTCTTTAACTATAACACCCCTAGTCAGGTGGTCGCTGACACCTCTACTGATTTACAACCGCTTTATGATTGAATTCAAAATTGTAGATCTGAATGTAATGGATGTCTAAACTCCTACTTCTAAGGAGAAGGATAAAAATTTCGTGAGGTAACTTCTCGAAAACTTGTAATGAATATTCAAAGCAAAGTGTGCTTCTCTTATACCGAATCCATCTCGAAAACACAACTTTTTTTTAGACATTCTGGTATATAGCAGCAAGTGTAGCTTATGATAGTAATAGTGGGGTAGTCGATAGGATTGCTCTTCCACCACTTTGGTATTTTATTATTAATTACCTCGTCTGGAGCCGCAGCTTTTCCATCTTTTATGTCCTTTGCAGCATGAAGTACCTCTTGTTCAGTAATCGTCGGCCCACTATATTCCTCATTCTTAAAACCCCTCCTCATATAGTGGGATAGCTATGTTTCTGCAATCCTGCTAGTTCTTTTACTGTTTTGTGAACATTAAAGTTGTCCTGTTTTGCAATATATCCGTAATATTTATAAAGTATAATGTGATAATGTAAAATGCTACATTTATATTGCATTTCCTGCACAAATTATTCCAATATTAACTGACGCATCTGTGAATAGTTAAACGTGTTTTTATTACGAATCGCTTAGGTTACTGCAAGATGTCTCCAATAGTACCATCGACGTATGCGATAGCAGTGTAGTTAAGAAAAAAATGATCGTCACATGGGGTCAAAGTCTGCATCTGGGGTGTTTTCTAAAAATGCCGGCCGTACTCGCCTCACAGACTATAACCTGGTACCACTACTCGAAAGAGAAAGGGCGTTATAAGATCCAGTACAGCCCCGATAAGTACATAGAGACCTCGGAACACGGACTCGTTATAATATCCGTTACCGAGGCGGATGCTGGACGTTACGACTGTTGGATGGGGGCATCATTGCTCTGTTCGTACAACGTTACGGTAGATGCACACCGTTGCTCGCCGCCAGCGAAGAGCAATGACTACCAGAAGATCTATTCGGACTGGTGCCACGAATTCGAGAAATACAAGTCCGCGATGAAAACCTGGGAGAGGAAGCAAGCGGTAAGTAAACCCTAAGCAGGTAAAAAAAACAACACTTCATTACGCGAAGTTAATTTGTTAAACTCAATTAAGAATTGAAAGCAGGATTTCTTTTTGCTTCTACTTTAATTATTATTCGTTAAATTATAATTAAAAAACCGCCATCTTTAGGGAACAACGCGGCAATGCTTATCACGATCATGGGGTATTCAGGTTGGTGCCAAGATTATCCTTATCCTTACATTAAGGACTAACCGAAATATGATAGTCATGATTCAAACTAATCTCCAGATTCAAATCTCTCTGACATATTCATTCAAATGACACAGAACCTGTCAAAATTAACTCAAAATTAACAAAACTTAACTTAAAAGTTATACACTTAAAAATAAATGTAAAAACGTAGAGATAACGGATAAAATGTGCCTTCATATATGTTTTTGCATATTATCACTTTACGAATTATTCAGAATTAGAAACCCTAATGTCTTTAATTACAACTGTACATGTGCTTAACAATAATGTGTGAATAAATACCAAAATTAATGTACATTCTAAGATTTCTAAAGTACAGATTTCTAACTCGGTAACCAAAGAATACAGATTTAATTTGAGACGGTAGCACAGTTTAGATTTTTGGGTATGTTGCCCACAAATTTGAAAATTTTTAGGTAAGCACAGGAAAGAAACAAACAACTTTTATTGCTATCAATAAATAATTGTAATTTTTTTTAAACTTGCCACTTTTGTTGACAAAAAAATATATCTTTATTGCAGCAGTGTGCCACGAGACAAAACAACAGTAACCAAAACAGTCACCCAAATGAGATTTACCGACCTCTAGTGTGATAGCTGATTGAGCGCGGTCCACTTGCATTGACGTACTTCGGGATCCCTTTACATTGGACGCTCGTTTTGTTTGTGTAAAAATTGAGTTTCAGCATACAAAGACGTTAGTTTTTTTTAGGTTAGCGTACGGGGGAGCGTTGCTGTCTGATAAATATTTTCAAATGCCTGCAAACTAAAGCGTCGCGTAGCCACACTTCAATTTCGTCAAGTTACGTTAAAATATTTTTTTATCGACAGCACCTCGTACTTTATGATATAAAGTGCCCCATTTATATAAGCGTTAGTTAATTTTAGTATTTCGTTCTCTTATATTAAAACGTATCGTGCTTGGATATGAGCTTATAATTATTCTTAATTTCGCACATTATTAAAGGTTGTTTAGGATTATTTTATATCCTACGAAATGAAAGTATTTTTACAAAGAAAAAAAGATTTAATTTGTAAGCATTAATTGTTGACTGTAAACTTATTAGCGTTTAAAGGTAATTCGATTTATGGAAAAATAAAAAAAATGCATCTAAATATTGTAGATCTGTGATATACATGTATTGTAAACTTAGCGTCAAAAGAAATTCACTTATTTTAGTAATTCGACGACTGGGGATGAATGTTTCGCAAAACAATCAGCTTCTGTGTAAAAACAAATTCGGACCAAGGTGAACTGGAACTTTTAATTTTTGCGACGACAAAAAAAAATGTAAAATTTCGCGCGTATTCAAAGCAATACTTTTCCCGATTGCATGTGTTGGTCCTTTTAATAATAATGTCAATATGTGCTGAAAAATGGTTTATGCATCGTTTACTGCACCTGACCTTTTTGTAAACAAGCGTAATTTTTCAAGGAGCGCAACTACTCTTAGATTGTGACTTTACAAACGAGTAATCGCAGTTTTTTTTTTACATTAAGGACAATCAGACGCCATTCGCTGTTTTATTTCTATGGTATCCTTGGCAAAAAAAAAAGCACTGATACTCATTTATTTTAAATATTAGACTTAAATACTTTAGTAGTTTTAAAGACTTGACAGATCGTATGAGAAAGAATAATTCGCCTATAATTAGTGCGCCAAACCTTACTTTTTAAGTTTTTATTCCCCCGAGCGAAATTACTTTTGAATCTGGCAATTTGAGTGTGTTATAAAAAACTTATATAGCTGACAAATGTTGACTCCTTCAAATGATAATGTTTAAAATAGTTTTCAGTTTGTAGAAACGATATTTCCTTGTAAATACCTATGTATAGTTAACCTAAAACTATATTGTATTAAAAAGTAGCCATCCACTATATGAATTAATTATGATTTTGTTTCCCTAATTTCCATCTTAATTTTTAAGTGTAAGCAACCGGTCTTGGATGATAACAGTTTTGTTTTGGATTCATTTTAGAACTGATTCTGAACGCTTCTAGAACGATTCCCAGATGCATAGTAGTATTAAATTCCCAAAGCGCATGTGCGAATCGTCCCACAACTCTTCTAAAATTTAACCCAAACAAAACTAATTTTGACTTGAGCAAACATTTTGCTGTAGAAATGATGAAGTTTTCTATAGAAATTATGTTTAAGAGTTTTATAACTACCAATCAATAGTCGTATACTCTCAGATATGTCACATGTTAGAACTACAACTGATTATTATATAATTGATTTTAAAATGAGGTAAAATAAAATACATATCTTTGAACTGCAATAATAATCTGACATTATTTTCTATGTTCCTTTCATTTAAAATTTTGTAGTTAAGCATTCTTGTTACGAATTTAAAGTGTAGATTTTCATACTACTGCAGACGCACTTCCGTGAAGTGTCCATCCGCATTCAATGCCCCAGCTAATACATGAACTTCATATATTAGTTAGGGCATTTGTGTATTACCTAACTATAGGAAATAACATTAAAATAGAACTTAATTAACATTTCCTTGTTAAGTACTAGCATTTAGATTTTAATTTTAATTTATTCCTTGGGTTTGTTTCGATTTAGTTTGGCATTATGAAAACTGACAGAGAGATCTTTATAGCGGCTCACATTTTAAAAACGATTCTGTTAAAGTTATAAATCACATATTATACCAACTACTTCTCCTTGTAAACAACATTGTAAATATAACAGAAATAGATTTATAATGCTATAGCAATGAAAAACCCAATGTAAATTGTAATGGTGATGTTGCTATAAGTGCTCTCCAACTATTACAAATAAACATAATATAAAATTATTGCCAAGTTTTTTATTTTTTCTATTTTATAAGGCACAAAACTAAGGGAATAAATATTCAAACTCAAAGTTAGGGGCAAGGTACCCTTTTGAACAAATTTATATATCAATAAAAAACGGCAATGGTATTTCTGAACCATCTAATCACAAATACTCATGCTCAGCCAGATGTAATAAAAGAACACAGATACATTACAAGACGAAAAAAAGTATTGCTTTTGTCAATAAATAATTCATCATATTTACAACTGAGTATATAATAAATACCAAAAATAGACAATATTACCTCACTACCACAAATAGAATATGCTTCTGTTTGGAAGTCTGTCCCACAAACCATAAAAACCAAAATCAAAAACAAATCAGAAGTACATTCCACTGGGCACTTGGTTAGAGACACTCGCCCATTTTCAGATATAATCCCTAACAAAAAAAAAAGAAAGTATTCGGTGGGCATAACCTACAACTTTAGTATTTTGAGGCTACATTACAAAAGTTAAAACTTGAGAAAATGAGTAAAACGTGGAAGAAATATCTGTTATGGTTCGCCCAGGAACATATTGCTTTCAGAGTGGCGGTATTCGCTGTGGACACATTATGTGCCTAATTTATTGTGGATATGCTTTTAGGAAATACAAGCTTTATTGTCCCTTTATCAAATTGAAATCAAGTACCAGGAAGTTCCCAAATACAATGCGAGTTAAAACTTACAATTGCCATGACGTTTGGATAGTTTGAATACAAAAATATTTTTAGGATCCATTCTGGATTGTAGAATTTGCATCTGAAGAAGAAGCCAAACTTGTTGCTAGTCGATCAGTATCCCTCAGAAACTGCTTGGAGTTATGGGCTCATGAAAAATCATTAGAGAAACTACATGAAACTTTAAAAAATAAGGAGAAAACATTTTATTCTGATTTTAGTAATAACAAATCTTTCAAAGTAGAAGTGGAGACTTTCTGCAGACATTTTACACAAAAGGAAAAAATTGAAAAAATCGAGGTAAAGAAGATTAAAGCAAAATAATTATCCCTAAATATTTTAACAGACTTTTAGTTATCTGCCACTGAAAGGGCCAGTGAATTTAAAAAATCCAGAATTACATCTTCAATACATTGAGTATTATGGTACAAGGGCCAATGATCCTCCACTGAAACCTTACCATGTATTTTTTGGCAGATTGGTAAGCCCAAAAATGTTTGTATTTTAAAATATGTGGGTTCAATTTTGTAGGTTGCCAATGGTTTAAGACAATTAATTAAGCAGTTGTCGCTAAAGACCAGGAAATTCATAGGAAATACAAGCATGGATCCCCAGTTGTCTCTGCTTATGGCAAATCAAGCAAGAGTTAAAAATGGGGATTTGGTATTAGATCCATTTGTAGGATCTGGTTCATTATTGGTAGCAGCAGCACAGTTTGGTGGTTATGTATTTGGGTCAGATATAGATTATCTAATGCTACATGGCAAGACTAAACCCACACGAATAAATCAAAAGGTATAAACAATTTTGAATCATCAATGTAGGGTCCAAGTTTTTTCTAGGTGAGGGAAAAGGATGAAAGTGTAAAGGCCAATATGAGACAGTATAATCTAGAACATAGATATTTAGACATTTTGGTAAATGATTTTTCTATGGTGTTTTGGAAGGATTCTATGAAGTTTGATTCAATTATAACAGATCGTAAGTTACTCTCTAAGTGTAAAAGCAACTTAACGGGATTTTCTAAAGCTACTCTTTCTCACAGCACCCTATGGAATTAGAGAGGCCACAGAAAGAGTTGGAACTACCAGAGAAAATTTCTTGATAAACGAAAAATATTTACCAACTCACATTCCAGCCAAAACTGAATATGGAATCCCGACCATTTACCGAGATCTTTTAAACTTTAGCGCAAAACACTTGCAAATTGGTGGTCGCTTGGTTTGCTGGTTTCCAGTTTTTAGGTATTTCCCTAATTACCTTTTTTTGTCAAGTTGGTAATTTATGCATTTCTTTTTTCATAGGGAAGATTACACAGAAGATTGCTTACCGGCACACCCTTGCTTAAAAATTGTAGCAAACTGCGAACAACCCTTAAGCATGGTAACATCCCGAAGACTTTTAACTTATGAAAAACTTAAGCAGCCAGTATTAGAAGATTTAACAATCATGGATAACAGAATAACAGATTTCAGGGAAAAATACTTTGTAGTCAGGGAAGTCACTAGGAAAGAAAGGAGGTTAAAGGAAGCCCAAACAAGGCGAGATAAATGGGAGATATACAAAAACCTACACAAAGTCAATTAATTTTTGTAAAATAATTTTATATAAAGTTAATTTTGCTTTTTTTTTTTAAAGAATTTACCTCCTATAGGCCTGTGATCTCTCCCTTCCAGGTTCATTTTTCCCCTTTTATTTCGAATTTTAATCTTGTTGACATCTTTACCACTTTTTCTATGATATTGTTTATTCTTTCTCAATGAAGTTTTGTTTTGTCCAAGTTGAGTTTCATTAAGTTTTGCTTTTTTATTATGTTGAAAATGGGATACCCTAGCAGGCCTTTTAACCCCTCTAGTTCTTGAAAATAAGTCTACAACACATTACCACTTGCAGATTTCACCAAGAGAAAATGTAGTTTTAAAAAATCCTTATAACTAAACAAAACTTGCCTTGGTCAGGTTCCTCTCCAATCTCCTTTTTGTAATATTCTCTATCATCATCTTCCTCCATTGCTTCGTGATTATCTCCTGCACTTTTTTGCCCTTTCATACCTTCCAGAGATTTTTGCTTTTGCTCTTCCTTAATTTTCTCCTTGGCTTTCTTGTTTTCCTCTTGTACTTTTTTCCTAGTTTCTTTTAATTTTCTCTTCGTCTCTCGTTTCTTTTGAATTTCAAGCCTTTCTTCCTCAGATTTATGTACCAGATCATGAAACAGCACTTCTCCATCCAATAAACCATCTTCAATTTTAATCAACTGAAGAGTCAATCTTGGTCCCAATTCTGTCAATCTTATTGACGACTTTCCTGCTTGGATGTTGCCCCTTGATATTAACTTTTGAGGGAGTGTCACATGAGTTGACGGGTCATCTGCTTCACTTTCCGATAAAATTGCAGTCCTAAAAGGATGATGTTAGTAAATCTCTTTACAAATTAAAAATAATAAAAATACAAACTTTGCAAAATATTCTGAAATATCGTTGCATCTAGCTAAATTAGGTACTTTGCCTTGTATCACCTTTTTGACTCCTTTAGATACTCCAACAGGTGCAATTTTGATTGTATAATGACGAAAATCAATGAGTTTTGTAGTGGGATTATAATTCAGTAAGACACATCTTCTAATATTATTTAAATCTACATTAGTCAAATTAATGGTGGGAAACATATTTTGAAACATGGATGCCATCAACTTCATTTGTAAACCTTCACCACTAAAGCTATTGAGAATTATAAGTGGTGAATGCTTAAAGGCTTCATCAATAACCATTTGTTTTTTAAGTGAAGACACAACATCTCTTGAAAGTGAATAATTGTGAATTTTGAATGTTAAAGTTGGTCCCCTGGGAAGACGCATTATTTTTAAATAAATTCCCAATTCTGTGTGTGAAAAGATTGATAAATGTGTGACATGGAGAGGACCTGCTACAGCCACAAAATCTTTGATAGTGTTTTTTTTCCTTTCCTAAAATACACAAAACATTAGCAATAATCTAGGATGACATGTATGATGTAAACCTTTAGTGAAGACGCGGTAAAGGGTTCCATTACTCTCCGAAAATCCTTGGTTAGTTCCAAGGTATGGCCGCCAGCTAAACCTTTGTGTATAACGAAAGAATGGGGAGCGTTAACCACTTCCTCCGGTTCATCGCGAACATTTAAATTTCGCTTCACGCTACGGCCTTTCTTTCTGCGTTTCCCCATTATCAGCTACACAAATATTAACACCAAAACTACTTTTCAAAAGTAAGGTTAGGTCTTACCAATGCCCATAGAACCAATTCAATTCAATTCAATGATGCGTTTCACAAAAAACTGTTGGGGCCCATAGAACCATTCTTTTCTTCTTATTTTGCTTTCACAAACAGTTGGACAGTCTACTATCGTCATTCGCTCATTACCGTTCTCCGTCAAGCATTTTTTCTTTTGATCACATCCAACATCTAAAAAAGAAACTTGAATCAACAATTATTCTTACGTTGCCAAGAAGGACTTTAACCGATAACAAAAAAAACGATCACCCCCTCTTCCGCCACGGACTATCCGGACTCATCCGGCTTTCAACAGGCATGGAAGCCAAAACATTTAAAAAAGAAACAGTAAACATTTCTCTAAACACTTAGGACACTAAATCCACACAATGGAAACCGATTTCAAGTTTTTGGGGACAATTACAATTACATTTGCAATGCTCACAACAAAAGGTACTGGATGCGTTCTGTTTCCAGATTTACCCAAATCTTGCCTATGTTTAGGCCGGGCATTAACGACGCGTTAAAGGGACTGAAGTTACACTCATCAATGTTTAGTAATATAACTTTATAAAAATATTGTTACAAAAGTAAAAAGTGGGCATTTTATACGTTGTTTGGATTTAAACGGTCAATTAATGACGAACAGTAAATTATGCAATACGCTCGGTTTGTTTCCTTTCTTAGCCGCTTCTGTTATTTCGTGTTTCCGCAATACCGCCATTGGATAAAAATTAGTAAGTTGAAACGATCGGTTTGTCCTTGGCAAAACTCCACCGATTGAAAAATTTAAAGAAATCAGCTGTCACAGACCACTAAGTGTTTTCTAGATTTAGGCACACGACTTTATTAATCGAACGATGGAAGTTGGATCAGACACGTTAGTAATCTGTGGATTTAACCCTAAGTAAATTAGGAAAACCAAAGTTTTGTTGACTGCATTATAATGGGGCCTTCGTTCGACAGCTTTTTGAAATTACAAGATTTATGTCATGCGATTTTAAAGAACCCGGATAACCTAAATTCGCTGAAAGATCTTAAATTTTGCATTAACCAGATTCCAAGAAATCTTATTGAACAGGCACATAAACCACTTTTGGCTAGTTTTTATGCAATTCTAAAGATGATATCCGTTGACAAAAATCGGTAATGAGATTGATATGTCTGTTGATTGTGATTGTACTAGGCTTAGTTCTAGATTTCCAGTCAACAAGAAGCAAATCTTTGTGGATACTTTAAAAGAGTTCTTGAATAAGGCTTCCATCACAAGTGAAATATTATTTTTTAACATTTACTCTTTCCTATTGTTTGAACTTTATGATTACTCGCAGCATAAGAGTGAGTTATAAAAAAATAAAAGTACGACTAATTTCCTTCGGAAAAATAATTATTTCAGTTTTAGCAATACCTGAGGAATATAAAATTATGCTGTTACAATGTATGACTGCACTTCTAAAAAGTATTTCTCCCGACATATTTGATAAAATATATAACAAAGAAAATATTCCGAAAATATCTCAAATAGTATTTGTATGTGGAGATTTAGCAAAACAAGAAAAGTCAAAAGAAATAAAGTAAAGTATTTGTATGTAGATGTTTGATATTTTTCTAAAGTGCATTTTTAGATATTTGGCAATTGTCTGTGTTATGGCTCTAGGAAAAGTTAGTGATTCAGATGACTATAGTGATATTGTTTTACGGTGTAAAGTAGCAGAAGTTTTCATGTTTTTTCTTCCTGGAATTGTGAGTGCTCTTTGCCAAGTTATTGTAGACAGTATTAAAAGTGGTCATAAAGTATTAACGGTAATAAACTTGTAAAAGTAAAGCCACCAACTTTATATTTTTAATTTCAGGTTGCCATTAAAGCCTTTGGTCGCATTGTGTCAATTGTAGCTCAAAATTATGAACCTAATGATACTGGTTATCTGCCTGACCTTGTTATGTTAAAAGAAGCAAAAAGCAAAATTAAAGTAAAATGGAAAAATAAAGAGGAAATTGATAAGTATATCAACACTACAAAAAGAACTTTGGAATGGTATAAAACCACAGATGAAAATTTACAAGCAAGCATTACCAAGCTTATCAAAATTACCAGTCATGAAAATATGAAAGTTAGACTAGAATTAATTGAAATGATTTCCCACATAGTTAGTTATTGTCACAGGTAAGTAATAAATACTAATAATTTTTGGGTTTATGTTAGCATTTATTAAATAAATAACATTTCATTACTCATTCTAATTTTCTCTTTTCTCTTGCTTTCTTTGTATTAATAAATTACATATATTTTTTTAGAACACTACCTTTGTCCATTGCTAGTCTTATTGAGTTTCTTATAATACTTTCTGAAGATGACACCACCGAAGTTTCAGATGTTAGTAAAAGTTTAATGAATGATCTCTCTAATAAACTATCATCAACATCTTTGGTCTCAACATTTGAAAGTTTAAAGGAGGGTTATTACAACTCCATACAAGATCTTCCCAGAGTGTTCAACAATGCGGGTCAGTGAAAATATAAACATCTCCTTAAAACTGTTTAATGATGATTATAAACTCTAGATGATCATCAAAAAATAATAGCTTTGAATCTAATCATCGGCTATGTAAAGCTATTTGGGGAAACTGATCTGAAAAGTATCATGTCAAGTCCCGTACTGTTGAATGTGTTTATAGATAACTTGGTTCATATCTCCAAGTTACAAATTTCTCAAGTTAGCATTTTGGAGGAAATTACTATTAAAGGTAAATAATTAATAAATTTTATTAGGGGAGAAAATATGTTTGTTTTGTTTTTTTTTACTAGAAATTGTTCTGGTAAAGGACTTTAAGCAGCCTTGGATTAATTTTTTATACTTTAGAGATGAGACAATAAAAAATAAGTTGGATCAATTGTGTGCTCTCTTGTCAAAAAGTGGTTGTCTTGATTTGCTTTACAATTCTCTTATGGATCGTTTTGACGACATATCCAATGAACACCGCAAGGAGATCCAGTACTTACTTAATGCCATGCTTGTGCCAGGTATTAATTTTTCTACATTTCTATCAAAAAATATCTGAAGAGGAGCATTTTCAGATTTAGATGTATATGTGGAAAATCCTCAAATACTTAAAAACTTAATCCAAATCTACACTGAAAAATTACACTATCAATTGTCCATTGTTGAGTGTGAAGGCTATACTCCAGAAGAACTCAAAGAAACAGTCGTTTTTCTGTGTTTATTGGTGGAAGGTATTGGTAAACTTTCCCTTACACTTAAAGATAAGTTTATTGCCCATTTGCTACATTGTCTTTATGTGGTATTAAGATGTGCTGGTAAGTAATTTTGTACTGGTATATTTTAACCAAATAACACGTTTTTATGTCTAGTTTGGATCTTCTTAGAGTTATTTATTCCTGCTATTTTCCTATTTTAGTCCATTTTTATTGTTGTCAGGTTGTAGACATCCATTATTGCAAAAGGCCGGACTATCCACAATTGCTATTATTACGTATTCATGCGGTTACGCCGACTTCACAGAATTAGTAAGCACCAATTTTGATTATTTTTCATATCATGTAGAAAGAAAACTTCTGAAAGCAGATGAAAGAGAAAGCGCCCTAAATGTGTTGTCGGTTGTTTTGAACCATTGCACAAAAGACATATTCCAATATTTAAGCAATATTGTTGAAGGGGTAAAATTATAACAAATGTTCGCGTTTAGCAATAATTTGTGGTCCAGATTTTAGAGAACCCTTCAGACATATTTCAAATAAAACATGCCACTCCTTATCTGAAAGTATTGAGAATGTGCGTTATTTCCATGAGACGTTGGTTTCCAATAGAAGAAGAACATCTTCCAATTAAATCTAGATCACAGAAACAAGATGAATATGAAGAATATCATGTCTCAGGCATACGAGAAAGTGAAAACTTTAGCGATGACATTATGGAAGGTAAAACTGCAGAAGAAATGTACAAAGAGGATGTGGAAAGAAAAGCAAATGAAAATGAAGAAATGGATATGGAACCAGACACGGGTAGCAATGTTTCCATGACTCCAAGTAATTCAAGTGACATGTTTTTTTTTAAAGCTATAGAGTATCAAAAACCAGAACCACCTCAATATGTTTCTGTAGCCACTACCATTTTGCAAAGAAGTTTACATTTTCTACCATCAAAAGATAGGTCTCGAAAATTGCTGGTGCTAGAAATACTTTCTACTGGGATTGAAATTTTGAAAGATTGGGAAGATCAGCTGCTGCCTACCGTCCACCAAATTTGGTCTCCCCTCGTGCAGAGATTTACAGAGTCAGAGGGGCCCCTGATAATAAGTTATAGTTTTGATTTGTTGCTGATTTTGGCGAAACTCTCCAAAGACTTTATAAGGATGAGGACCGTGAAGTAACTCTTAATGCCCTCAATAAGCATGGGTTTGTTTTAAATATACATCTGTTTTAGAGAAGTTTTGCCGAATTTACTTCAATTACTTGAGAAACTGTCTCGTGAGAGTTACCTAAAGGATAAAGGTGCGGCATTCAGGTACACGCAAAAATACAAACTACAGATCAAGGTTCTGGATAAATTGGGTTATATATTGGCTTATCTTGATGTACAAAATGAGGTGATGGAAAAATGTATGGAATGCGCATTTCTTTATTTGTCTGATAAACAACCTCAGCCTTTACAAGTACTACTTTGGATGTATAATAAGAGTTTCCAATTTTTAATGAATGATTGGATTTTAGGTTAGTGCATTAAATTTCTTCAATATCGTCATCAAATATGACTTGGGATTAGTCGTTAAAATTACCAAGAAATGGAATGATAAGTTCACTGCGAAAGAGTATCAAAGAAATGTAGAACAAATAAATCATATGATAAACATGTATGAGAGGCAATTCTGATGTGTACACTGATATATTTTCAATGTATTAGAAACATTGTTCGTTTGTTTCCATTAATATACTAAAAAACAATTCTGCATTACAAACCAACCGAAACAAATTAAAGGTAAGTTTTTATAATTGTTTTTTTTTTGAGGAAAAATTGTGAAATTTATTAGTGAAGATTTTTTTAGTAGGCCACAAAAAAAAACCAAGGGGAAGTATTAAAAAAAACGATATTTTAAAAAAATCGTGATAATTAATTTTATTCACTGTTACATAAAGTCAAACTCTCTGAGACATTAGGAGACATCGTTTATCATTATAAACATTCAGACTTTACACACAGACATGTTTATTCTCAGTTTTTGCAACTCGCAAGAAAATAATATTCAATTAAAGTCTCTTCTAATTCTATTTAAAAAGTGACATGTACGTTACACAAATAAAATGAACACAAAAAGTTACACTTTTGCAAATGTATAAAACCCTTATACTTAGTATTATACAGCATATTTAAAATCAAACAGACGTTGCTGCTATAGGGATCTAACAGTAACAGTAAGTTTTAGTTTGGAACGTCCTGTACGAGTCGCGGAAAGTAAAAATATACCGTGTTTAAAATATAGACACATGGGGCGAGAAAACCCAAAACTCATTGGATTGGATTTAAACTGATCACAGGTCAGCGTAAAATGAGCCTTACCATAATTCTGCCCCCGACGTATTTATATATAAAAAGTAAATTACATAATATATAGTTTTTTTAATTACGCTAATTTTTCTAAAAAGTTAACAACATAACTATTTCGTAATACCATTGACCGAGTTAAAATACATTTTTAAAAAGTAATAAAACCAAATAAAAGGGTGCGTGTAATTAAAACTACTTCAACGAAACGATCGCGTCACCAATGGTATAGACAAAAAGTTACAAATAAAAAGGAAGTGAGTCCGTTAAAATCTACAAAAATAATAAAAATTGTGTATTTGATACACAAAAATTTAATTCTCTGTACTAACGGGTTCCCTCGCATGATGGATCTGGACATGTTTGTTGTGGTTTGATTTGGTGGTTGACGTTTTACCGCATATATGACACGCGAACGGTCTCACCCCGCTATGGACCCGCATATGGTCTTTCAAATAGTAAGACCGGTGGAACGACTTGCCGCACACGGAACAATTGTAAGTCTTATCGTTTTCGTGCTCTTTCACGTGTCTAAGACAATTGTATTTCCTTATAAACTGCGCTCCGCAGTAATTGCACGTATAGGGTCGCACGTTCTTGTGCGAGTTCATGTGGGCGACATAATCTGTATTCCTTATGAAAGCGGCCTTGCACAAGTTACACTTGAAGGGCTTTTGAGTACGGGAGGCATGAGTCCACTTGTGCAGTTTGAGGTTCCATTTTGTCGTGAAGTCCTTGTTACATATGAGGCATGTAAAGGGCCGTTGCCCGCTATGATTTCGTATGTGAGCGTCCAGCGAAGATTTTAGGAACGAGCCTTTGCAGATCGGACAAATGGCTGTCATCTGCACAGAATATACTTACTACTAAGGGTGTTTTCAAATATGGTTCAAATACATTATATAAATAAAAAAATAATGTTAGACTGTCTGAACGTTTTAATAAACAGGGTCCAGAGAAAATAGACGCTTAATGCTGAGTAGTTGTTTAAGTAAAAACCATTTATCACTTTATCATACATCCTTTATTCTTTGTGGACAATTAATATACAATTCCACTTTAAAATAGAAATTTATTAATGTAAAGCTGCTCAATTTTTTTTTGCTATTGAATTACCTACTTATAATTTTTTCTATGCTGCAGGTAATTTCAAACATAATTTAATAATAATTTAATAATTATTAATTTTGCACCAAATTTGTTTGAAGAATATATTGCCCACAATAAGTTGGTGGATAAAATTAATCAACCCAAGTGTTTTTGCCATTTCTTCCCTATGGCAGTTTTTGGATGGATGGTTTCTATATTTCTCTTATTAACAATTTCTGCTTTCCTTAAACGTGAATTTTCCATAAAATCAGCGATCTAGGCGTGACGTTTAATGCTCGATGCTCGTATTAATGTAATCCTTTAAAAGTAGATCGTGAGGTTTTATTAAATGAAACGCGAAATTTGTGCACGACACGAAGACCTGTTTAGCATGATACTTTTTAGAATATGTGGCTATTGCGATTATTTGGTTTCCATATTAACAATTCTACAACTCGAAATACACTGGAGTCGGGATTTAGTAAACTTCGTTTCGAGTGAACTACTCCGTAGAGTGAATACACAAATGGTATTGTGCTTCGCGATACAGTGAACAGCGGTAAACTCCGATACAATCAACTACGACCTACGTCGTGAAATGTATAATTAGGGGATTCCCCTCGTGACTCGGAGATTTTGCTTGTTTCACGTTGTCGAGTATCATTTGTGTGTATTTTACGTATTATCAGGTTCAGAGCGCAGTGCGGAGTAGTACGTTTAAATGTGAGATTTTACACAGCAAATATGTCACAAAAGAGGAAGTGTTTGAATTTAAAACAAAAAGGTGAACTGCTACAATCCCTGAGTAAAGGCGATTGTGTGTGTGCTTGCTAAAAAATATGTTAACCAAGTCAACCGTACGTGCAATAAAAAAGAAAAGGGCGCCCACACTAAAGAGATTATCACAAACATTTAGAGGTTCAGAAAAAACAAAGATGTTCAAAGTGTCTAGCTATTCTAACGCAAATAATTTCTAAACTTGACAGAAAGAAATATAGGAAGGTTTTACAAAAAGCAATTGATGTAAATTCTTCATTTAATGCTAGCAATGGACTACTCCAAATAAGTGGAAGGGAAACTGTAGTTCCAGCCTGAATTAGTCGATTCATTTAATTTATAAAAACTTTGAGAAGCACTATTGAAAGGGTGCCGACGAAACCGGCCTTTGTTGGAAGTTGTAACCCAGTAAGACTTATGTATCAGAGACAGAGAAAACTGCACCGGGCAGAAAAATTTCTAAACAACAGCTTACATTTTTGGTCTGTACAAATGCCGCAGGCGATCATAAATTAAAGCCATTAGTCCTAGGAAAATCAAAAGTTGTTAAGAATGCATGGATGACAATGAAAATTTTTCGAGAGTGGTTTCATGATATTTATCCCCGAGGTTAGTTCAGGTGGTATAAAAAAGTATGTAACAGTAATATGTAACACAATTTTCATTTTTAGGTGAACGCGTTTTTAATGAGTCTCGTAACTTACCCGTTAAGGCGTTATTATTATTGGATAATGCACCGAGTCATCAACCTGAAGCCAATTTAAAAAGTTCTGATGGTCTTATTATTGTAATGTTTATGCCACCAAATGTAACAATGCAGCCAATGGACCAGAACGTTATCAGAATTACCAAGTTATTTTTTTGTAAAAACCTACCAAGCCAATTATTGTCAAAAGGCTCTGACCTAAGTGCAATGTTGGAAACATACACTTTAAGGGATGCAGTTTCAAATTTAGCTTTGGCCAGGAATATGTTAAAACTAATTTTTATAGAGAAATGTTGGCGAAATATTTTAACAATCAACTTGGATGATGAAGAGGATACTGTCCCCTTAAGTGTTTTAATTTTGTGTATTACAGGTTGAATGTGAAATAAACGACATTAATAGAGATGAAATAACAATTGATTCTGTTTCGGAAAAAGATGACAATGACTATTGTCGCGAACATTGCCTTATATTTTCGTCAATGTTGGGATTATTTTATAAGCTGGCAACAGCGCGGTTTGTCCGAGTAGTCAAGCACATGAATACGCCAAAAAAAAAAAAAATAAAGTGTTGTTATGTGAAAAGAGTCGTTTTATATCTACATTTTTTCTATCCCGAGAATAACCATAACCGAATCGAAGTATATCTACGTTAAACGAGTATACGCAACAACTATGTCAAATACAGAAAACAAGCTAATTTCAACAAGCCACGATATGCGAAATGGTGATATAATAGAATATAACGTCTTGATTGTGTCACATGATTTAAAACAAAAAATTCTAGAAATCAACCTAAAGAAACAGTTTAAATGACCTTAACTAACGCCATTTTTCACGCATAGTTTAATATTTTTCTATAAACCTTAGTATGCATTTAATTATAATAGTACTTTTTGTTTGCTACTTTTTGCAGAATATATATATTATTTCTTTCAGCGTGTCCTTACTTAATCTCAAACCCCGCAAATCTTAACACCTGCAAAAGAGTAAAATTGCTTTGCCAAAATAAGTTCAATAAATCGCGACTTCACTGTAGTGCAAAATAATTATAATATAATTAATTATAATCATGTTCACGTTGTTCTTTATGACGGAGGTGATATGGAGAACATTTTTTATTGGACGGGCTTGCAACTTATTTTTCTATATTTTGAATCTCACGCAAAATTTTTATTGTCCTGCTGTATACAGTAATTTTTATGTAAATAAATACACACTAAATATATCAATTTAAAAAGAACTCCTTTGGATCTAAGCTACAATTTACAAAGGACCCTGATATTATAAAAGTGTGCAAAAGGCATTTTTTATGGCCCCCGTTTTTATTTTTTGCGAACGAAAGCGGGGAATTTTTTTAAATAAATTTTTTAAACACATACCTGATCCTTTGAACAATCCACATTATGAGCCCGTTTCATGTGCCTATTTAAACTGGCCGTATGTATGAATTTTTCACTACAGTGCGTGCAGGCTTTAGGTTTTTGGTCATGTGTCTCTTGATGCCATGCCAGTTTCTTCTTGGAATGGAAGATTTCGCCGCAGGAACAGATGTAATCTTTAAGTTTCTTTTTGATCTGCAAATGGTGCCTGTTCCGGTGCTGGATCAGGTTCGAGTGCCTTTTGAAGGTGTCGTCGCACATGTGACACTTATAGGGACAATTGCCTGTATGGGTGTTGCGGTGCTCTTCCACCTTCTGTTTCGTTACGAAGGATTTGTCGCACATGTCGCACTGGAAGGGCTTGAGGCCTAGATGACGCTTCATGTGCAGTTTCAAATTCTGACGCCGGTAGAATAATTTCCCACACATTCGGCACTCAAGAGGATGGACCTTCAGATGCACGGTAAACTCATACTCGTTGGCGAATTGCTCATTACATATTGCACATAAGTATTTTTCTTTTTTGGATTTCAGTATATTATGGGCTTGTATGGCGTGTAGTTTCAACATCTTCCTATCGCTGAATGTGATAGTACAAAGTTGACATACAATGCTGACGGCGGGTAAAGTTTCATCAATTTTGATATCTTCAAGAGAATGTTTAGCTCCTAAAAAAGTAATTAATTTATTGCGATTTTTGGCGCAGTTCCTTTTTCAGTAGGACCAAGAAAAAAACATATTTTTATTTATTTATACAGAGCGATCCTTTGTTTAAAATAATGGGTAGTTTTTTTATATAATTTTTGGATCAAAAGCTAACCGTAGGGAGATATCGCGCTACAAATATGGCCGAAAAATAATATTTCTATTTTTTATTTACAAACGAAAATAAATAGAACAATAAAATATCCCAGAAGTATCACTATTATATAAACACAATTTACAGGTTCACAAATGAGTGGAGGGGATTGAATTTAAAGAATAACACGGAAAAAAATTTTTGATACACCCGTTTTAAAGTATCCCTGCCGTAAAAGTTATTATTTTTGAAAAATAATCTAGTTATATATAAAAAATAAAAACAATATTTTTCGCCATATTTGGAGGGCGATATCTACATAATGGATGGCTTTTGACCCAATATTTATATAATAAACTACCCTTTCTTTTTTTTCGCATTTGTGCTGAAACACCCTGTATAATTACAATTTCTTTATATAATTACCCACTTTCCCCCATATTTCATTACTTTTTCTGGTAAAAAAAAAATACTTTAAAAAAATGTACTACTTGACTCACCTTGTCCAATAATATTGCACTCTGCATTTTCATCATTCCTTTCTAATTGTTCAACTTTTAGCCTGTTTGTAAATACATTATTAAAAGTATTTGGTTTTTTTGGCCTAATCACAAGCTTTTTAACTCTATTTCTTCCCACATCAAGCCCTATTATGTTTGCCTTACGATCGTCACACTGTTGTTCATCCTGAGGTACACTTCTATCCTCTACTACAACTGTAGTCTTTTTGTCAATGTCCTCGGGCCGGTTCTCCCTTAGAGGTCCAGCATGTAAACTATAGCTATCCTCCCACAAATTATTGTACTCGTTATTAGTCACCTGGCTTTGGTACGTAGTATTCCAAACTATGTCACTAGCACTACCCATGCTTTCTTGCCCAGAGAGCTCACCCCGTGGTGGCATTTTCTCATCAGACTCAATGTTAACATTTGGAACTGAATTTTCTTCTGAATTATTACTGGTCATTTCTCCTAAAGTCATTAAAATTCGTGGACGCTCATGTTCTATAGTATCTGCTTGAGGAACAATAGGAGATGTATTAAAATCATTAATAATTACTTGCATGCCATCTATATCTTCCATTGTCACAAAATCTACTGGATCATTACCATGTAATATGTTCACTGAAGTATAGATGGGTTCTGCTTGCTCATAGCTTCCAGAACCTAAGTCAATTGATGTAAAGGAAACAGATACATCATTTTGTTGATTAAAATAAATGAATTCAGTTCCATCTTGAGGCACCTCAGCATCATTCCCTTGGTTCTGCCCATGAACTGATTTTGGCGATAAGTTGACTACTGCTTGAGTTTGGCACGCTTTGTCCAGTTCTTGGTTTAAACTCCAGTCAGAATTATGCTGAGAGTAGGGGGTGCCAACACATTCTTCATGGTCAATTTCTTGATTATGTTCATACTCACTGTGAGACTCATTAAAGCTTGCTAAACTATCACTGCTCAAAGAAGAAAGATCTTTACTTTCAAAGTCACTACTTTTTTTTTCATAATCATTCTCATCTATCTGAATTTTCGGAACTTCTTCATCTACAATAGAAATATATATTCAGGAATTAAAAACTATTTAAAAAATTGAAATGCAATATTTCACACAGCAACATACCATCTTTTATGCTTTCATTTCCGTCCTCCTGACTAGAATGCTCCATTTCTTGAATTAAATCATCATCACTTGACACCTCCACTGCATCAATTGTATCAGCTGCTTTTTCAATTTGTGACTTAGCATGTCCATCATTTGATGTTTCTTGTGGACAGTGTTGTTCAGTAACCTCATTAATTTGTGAAGAACCAGGCAATTCGAATGGCAAAGCCCTAATATTGGCTGGAATAGTGTTGCTAGACATAATAACTTGTTGTTGCTGATAAACATAAGGCATCATTTGGGAGTTAAAATAAGCAGGGGCTGGTACTAAGTACTGCTGATTTAATGGGTTCATGTTGAGGACGTTTGACTGATGAGGCGATGTTGTACTCATGCTCTGTTGGTAGATAAACACATGATTTCCAGGAAAAGGACTCATATTTGATGAGTGGCCCACAGGCAATTGGTTTAGATTTGAAGAAACACTGCTGTGGTGAAAAGTGTTAGAAGATTCTCCTTCTCGAGAAGAACTAGGCAATTTTTGTAGTTCATCAGTTCCAGCTAGCTTAACCAATGCATCAATCACTTTTTGTTTAGGATGGCTAGTCAAATGCTGTTTCAAAGTGATACCAGGTCTTAAATATAGGGTACACACAGGACATATTATATTGATCACTTCCATTTTTGATGATTTTTTAGTCCTCTGTACGGCTCAAAGTGGGAATGATTGAATTTTGGCCAGCTGCACACCTAGCCTCTTGTATTGATCTGTGGACAAAATCAATGATGGAATGAATCAACGGAAATTTACTGCAAAAAATGCAATAAGCTATTCATTTTCCTATAAACTGAAAGACGCATAATCCAAAAAAGTGGGTCCAACATATTGGAAAATACTAAAAATTCTTTGTCTTAGAAAGGAATTTTTTCTAATACATACCAAAAGTTCCTTACCTAAAAAATAATAAAATTTATCGGGCCTCCATAAAGGGAATCCATTAATAGGAGAAACTGGGGGTTTTATACAGTTAAAATATTAAATATGTTAAAAATAATTAAAATTTATCCCTTTGCTACCAATAGCAAAGGGACAATCTACCAATCTATCACAGAAAACCAGTTAGAAAACACAGAACGTTGATTTTGTGGTTAGTTTCAAAGACGTGACGCAAAATTCTTCTGGTGCAAAGAGCGTAGTGTGACGTAAACGACCCTAAACGAAGATTTAAATTGTAAAGTTAAATTATTGTTCAGTAATAAAAATTTGTCTTTAAATGTGAAAATGCAACAGTATCTAAACTAGTTTATTCTCTTGGACGAATAACGCACGAAACTTGTTTTTACTACAAAGTTTTGGGCTGTGAAATATTTTATAACGTTATTTGATAATATTACTTGTGTGTAGTAAAGCGCGATCAAGCAATATAGCAGGTAAATATGTATTTATGATTATCCTCTTTTATTATTTATTTATTTACAGGCACAGCCATTCAAAATAGTTATTTCTACAACCAAGGCGCGAACGCAATTTCGCGCATGGGACTGCAAAATATTTTTCAATACAGCTGTAGAAAAAATATTGCATACAACATGGGCGTGAACAAATTTCCTGCCTTCGACTGACAGCTTAAGTCCGTTTTGCCTCGTTAAAATGATTACGGCTGTAGCATTTTGTTTCCTACATCGTCGCAAACAAGCATGACGTTAGATACGGAAACATTACGTTAAATAAATAAATTTTTCATTCATTGGAATTGTCATATCTCATGGTCTGTGTCTGTCAAAAATATCAGGTGCTCTATGAGTTTTATTAATATTAACCTTCAATAATTGATTATTAATTTTTTCACTTTATAAGATGGGAAATTTAAAAAGTAATAAAATAAACCTAGGTTAATCGTTGTATAAAATATCTGTCTATTTTTTTAGAAGATTTAGAACAATTGCGGCAATGGAGAGAAAACAACGATCGGAAAAGCAGAGAAGTCTTAAGTATATGGTTAGACCGATTATGGCTCAATGTAGATAGTTTGGGAAAAGAAAGTACATTTATCTAAAACTTCGAGTACTATTGTTTTAGATCTATTATTGTTTTAGAATATTTGATATTAGAACAGGTATGCCTTGCTGCGTTAGATTGTCACTTTCTGGATATAGCTAAAACATGTATTGCAAGCCTCAATGCTGAATTTAGTAACAGCTTAAGGGTCAAGCGTCTTGAGGCAATGTACTTTGAAGCTACTGAAGATTATGATTTAGCGCTGGGAATGTTAAATAGTATAATAAAGGCAAATGAAACCAATAGTGCGGCAAGGAAACGCAAGGTTGCAATACTAAAAGCTCAAGGAAAAACTGTTGAAGCGGTCAAAGAACTTGTTGATTATTTAAAAGTGTAAGAACTTTAGTACTTAAATTTATTCATCAAAATTAGGAAAATATTGTTAGCTTACTCTTGTTGCTGATAGGTTTATGGCTGACATGGAAGCTTGGCAGGAATTAGGTGATTTATATATTGGCGAACAAGATTTTAACAAAGCTGCCTTTTGTATTGAGGAGTTAATCTTGCACAACCCTCATAACCATTTACTACACCAGAGATATGCTGATGTAAAATATACTCAGGGTGGTGCAGAAAACTTAGAGCTGGCGAGGGCTTACTATTCACAGGCTCTCAAAATAAACCCAAAAAATATGAGGGCACTGTATGGTCTATATTTGGTGTGACCTTTTCAAGCAGTTTTTTGTTATTGTAATTTTTAATATTTGATTTATAGACAGCCACTGCGCAAACAGCTTCTCAAAAAAACTCGTCCCAGAAACGCAAAGACGTTACAAAAATAGCCGAGTGGAGCCTCAAGGAGATTAAAAATCGGTACAATGAAGAAAATGTTTTGGTAACTGCATTGGCAGCTTTGGAAATATAAGTAAAGTGTTATGGTTTTATCACTGTTAGGGTGCAATTGTAATTGAAATAAGTTATTCTTGTTGTATACACTAGTAACAATATATGTATGTCACTGTGTTTGTGTACTTTCCTTTTTAAAAAAGAGATTTTTGTTTTGTAATTGTTAATTTCTACAGATTCACCATTGCTTACTGATCAGGATTATATATAACATTGGTTTATTAGTTTAATATACAATTCATCGAAGTAGAAGCCAAAATCACAGCATCGAAAAGCTAAAACTATATATCCCTCCTACTCAAAGAACAAGTGGTCCGGAGGACGTCATTGTAGCAGCACTCATTCTTACTAATTTGTGGGAATCAATTGTCCATGTGACTATTATCGTTCTTGGACTCCTTGAACATGATAACAATATAGTTGGTATCAGGTATATGTAGAGGAATTTAATTTAAATGTTGACGACAGAGGCGGGTATCTCTTTGAATGTAGATATTCGAAAATATCAAATACATCTTTAATAACGACATGATAATAAGCAGGTCTACTTCTGGAACTCATTTCACATCTGTAAGTGAAATAAATTCTAAGACAACAGAAACTGGTGCCTATTGATAATATAATTCAATTCAAGCTATATATAATCTAAACTAAGCCATTAACAGAGTTTTTTTTAAATATGCCATGAAGGATGTTAAGATTTTTTGAATAACATATTAAAATGGGTTTATTGGGTTGGTGGAACATTAGCGTGCTTAAGGACTGATTCCAAGCGCATGCAGATATCTCAAAAATGCTACCGATTAATTCATATTCGTAGAATTATATATGCATGTATTTATAATGTAAACAATAAAAAAGAAATAGTTTAAAAATAATTAATTATTTATTGGAAATATATATATATATATATATATATATATATATATATATATATATATATATATATATATATATATATATATATATATATATATATATATATATATATATATATATATATATATATATATATATATATATATATATATTTTTTTTTTCACGTATTGATTCACGGATGGAAAAATGTGATGACACTATATTGCGGGATATCATCCGTTCGCTTGTTGAACTCCGACTGGCATCCTGCAGACGTTTTGCCAAAATCTCACTTGGCATCTTCAATGCTCGCGCTCCGAAAACACTTCGAACAGTGCTCAGTGTTTTCGGAGCGCGAGCGAACGGATGATATCTCGGAATATAGTGTCATCACATTTTTCCATCCGCGAATCAATACGTGAATATATATATATATATATATATATATATATATATATATATATATATATATATATATATATATATATATATATATATATATATATATATATAAAGTTTCAGACTGTCTCTCCAAAATTCCTTTATTATCACTTTGGAAAATAAAATAGGAGATCGCTGTGCAGAAGCACAATTCTATTTTCTACTTTCTTGTCGATTTTAAGACCTCTTGAAATGTTTATAATAAAAAGAAAAAAAATTAGTTGGCATAATAATTCTCTAAGTGTAGTATTTACGTATTCAAGGGCTCAAGACCAAAAAAGCTCTTACTCTTATTCTAATCGTTAAGTGGTGCTAAAGGCAGCCTACATCTATGTATTACAAAATTGAGAAATCTTTCATATCGCATTCATATAAGATTAAAATGGAATATTATGTAACAAGTGCGATAAACGGCGTTTGACTCACTAGTATCCTAAAAAGTTTACCGAACGTGTTGCATACTATACTTTTTCTACGACCGTTAGTTTTTGGGTACATTTTCGCAAAACAACACAAATTGAGAAACGTCAAAATTCAAGATGTGGGAAATATCTCCGAAAACATTCGATTGCTGCCAAACCCGTGCGGTAATATCCCGGAAATGCCCGAAGTGGCTGGGATCCGTGTAACGCTTCCCGCGCGCTAGTTCGGCGTGTAATTAGGCATTTTACAGACGGGAGTAGAAAAATATAATTAAGTATACGGAGGAGGATGCTCTATAGCAATATCATATCAATATATAAAGATTATTTTAAATATATATTTTAAAGTAGTATAATTCGCTACCTACTCGTTTATGTAGTTCAATTTTTGTAATGTTGGAATTTCATGGCTTATCAACTTCGAATATCTATATTTACCTTCAGCACCAATCTAGATGTAATAAAGCAGCTCGCAGTTAAACATTTATCGGGAATAGGGTACAGGGTATATTAGGTGTCCATGTGTCCATTAAAAACGACTCGAAGACAATCACATTCTCACAATATTGTTTTTTAATTAATTTTAATGTGTGATCTGTAGACATATTGCTGACCAGTGACGGGAAAATATTCTTTTTGGTCACAGTTCACCGATAACGCTTGGCCAGCATCTCGTGCCGCTGGAGGTCATTTGCACCTCGACTAGAGTACCTTTTTTTTTTCGTAATAGATTAGATAATTTATTAATGTCTAGAACAAAACGTTCCCCAAAAAATGCGAAATCGCGATAACCAAGTTGTAGTGTCGATCGAGACGCCGATGCCTGCTTATCGCTATCGTGGCGTTATTTATAAATAATGTAATCACATACATATTCCACAATAAAGACTACCTCAATAGAGTCCAAACGTTTTTAGTGGGGGAAATGGAAACGTACACGGCTGTAGGTCAGAGTACAAAATAATTGTTTATAAGTTCTGCGAGAGTGCTTTGATGTTTCTTACTTTATCTCGAGTGACCGAATAGTGAGTATATGTCTGCAGTGTTCGGTGGCTAATTTCAAGTGAAAATGCCAAGCTGTTCGTCGGAAAGTTTGTCCAAAGTGCCGTGGCCGAGTAACGAGAGCATTCATGCCGGTAGCAGCAGCAGTGGTTCCGGTTTGCAGAGCCCCATTTCTCCAAATTCCTTCTCTCCCGGTTCTACTTCGCCGGACAACACACTCCGGAAACGACGCATCCGTCGCACTTCATCCCTGGGGAGCGTTATCCGAGAACCTTTCGTTATACAGTCTGACGCCCGCGACCTTAGAAGCCAAAGCCCCGTGCACAACTCACCCCAAGAAGAAGACACGTACTCAGTACTGAGTGCCGTGATCGGATGGTACCCTTGTTTTTTGATCCGCATACTCAAGGCGATGTTTATCGCCATCCTGCCGAAGACCTGGAAACAACTGCTGTTTGCTTTGCCCATGCTATGGATATCCATGTGGATTTGGTTGCTAACGCAGCTGGTTCAGTTACCACTTACGATGGTACGGATGCTTCTTTCGGCGGTTTTCTCGCCGAGGGTACCGCGGAACCAGAAAAAACGTACCGTGCTTATCAGCGGAGGCAGCACGATCCAAGCGTTGCACCTGGCTAGGAATTTTTACTCGGCGGGCGCGAGGGTTGTGGTATGTGAAATACAGGGTGTTTTCGCACTGACGCGATTCTCCACCGCCGTTAATAAGTTCTACACGGTACCCAAACCTACCAGCGATCAACTTCAGAATTACGTCCGCGCTTTGTGCGAGATCGTCGACAAAGAAGGGGCGGTCTACTACATACCGGTATGCGCCACCACTTCGGCATATTATGATGCCGTCGCAAAGCCTCATTTGGAATTGCTCGGATGCACGTGCTTCTGCCCGGGCATCAAAGAAGTCTGGGTACTGGACGATACCCTGGAAGTTTTAAAACGATGCGAGAAGTACAACGTAAGCACCCCGAACTACTACGTGGTAACTTCACGAGAGGACGTCTACAGGCTCTACGATACGGGTACCATTAGACTCGGTAATTATGTAATGTCTACCGCGGGCCCCAGCGGGTTGCGGGAACACTCGAAGGTCGTTTTGCCGCTGTCGCGGAACGATCTTAAACTTCCAAACGACATCAGCGAACAGAGGCCGTGGGTAGTGGTGCAAGACCTCGAAGGCGAACATTATCTTACTTGCACGACCGTCAAGGAGTCCCAGGTGATCGCTAACGTTACCTGCAAGTTCGAAAAGGAAAGCGGCGGTCTGATACCTGTGGAGCACAAAGAAATAAACCAGTGGTTGACGAATTTCTTCGGCAAGCTGCAGCTGCTGAGACCGATTACAGGACACGTGAGCTTTCGGTTCGTCGTTACGAAAGATACGAATACCATAAAGCCCCTCAGCAGCAGAGTGGGGGTGTCTTTGCCTTATATTTGTTATACCAACGTCCATCCCCGTCTCGTTTGGCGACCGTGTCGGCATTTTAAAAGACAAAACTCTGGTCCTCTGGTGAATGGCAATGGAACCTACCGAATGACCGACACGGTATTAAACACCCTAAAGAATCCTTCATTAGAAACGGTCACAAGGCTGATAGGTACAGTTTTGGATAAAAGGGACGCATTGTTTACAATATGGGACCCGTTGCCGTACTGCGCGTACTACCACATGCAGTTGCCTTTCCAGAACATGCTGGGTTTCATGCAGAACCGGCAAAACAAGTTCCCCAGGCCTATAACAACCCCGGTGCGTTGAAAGAGTTTTTGCAACGCCCATCGGAGAGAGATTAAAGGCTTGACTTGTACGTATGAATAGTTATTTTTTGTAAAGTACTGATATTTATTTTTTGATGTGAACTCAATGCTGTATTGCACACAAAAATGCACTTTCATTTCCAATGCTGCTTCATCAACGATTTAGCAAGAGATGTTTTGGCTGACCGAACAAATATTTTTATTTTAATGGACTGTTATCATTCTAGTGTTAGCGATAGTCTTAAAAATACATTTTATCTGTTATTAAAAATAACGCGTGTCGAAAAAAAATCATTGCATCAATGGTTCGAGTTTTACTCGCTTAAAATATTGGACTGTACATTTAGCAGACGAAATACAAATATGTTTATGTTAAGGTCTTCTGTTATCCGATAACGGCAGAGTGTAAATACAAATTAGTAATGCGTGTCGTGTTATATTTATATCTCGCGCAAAAAAAAATTATCGTGTACATATTTTTTTTACGATTCCCATAGTGCAAAGTCCATTTTTATTATAATGTTGTTGACACTATTGTTAAGTACATACAAGTTGTTTAATTATTTGTTGTTGCTTCCAATGTAAATAAAACCAGGACGCGAAATTGCTTTTGTTTCATTTAATAACGATTTAGTAACTCTGGAGGTGCAAACCCGATGCCTACTGTTGCCACCCAAAAGTAGTAAAAACGAGTTAATGCGAAAGTTTCATATTTTTGTTGACAAATGTCAATAAGCTGTTATGAATGCCACCTTTCAAATATTCAATTTAAATTTGCGTATTAGTTCAAATTCGATAGAATTTTTTTTTATTATTTCCATACATCTTCCAATCTTTATTATTATAATTTTTCATAATTTGTGACCACCTGGTACGTAATTTCTGTATTTGTTCTTTGGTTAAGACCTTATTGAAAATAAGCAAAACTTTTTACGGATAATAACTTTTTTTACAAAATCAACTATAAAATACTTCTCCATTGGTTGCCAATATATTATACGAGCTGATGTTTGCTGTTGGCGACCGAATCAACAGCACATCAACCAATGTTATTGGCTCCAGTAGTGTCATCGATGCCGGTTTTCTGAACCAGGTATTAAATAAATTGCTATCGAAACTTTTGGGATATCATATCGAAATGAATCGTTACGTGAACGAAAGAAGTAATCGAAGAAACGGAAACAAAATTTTATTGTAGAAAATCGTTTCATGGCCTCTGCATTTTAGGGTGTCACGCGATTTGCTTATAGCGGCGATATCTCTGTCAGTTTTTGAGAAAATAATACGCCTTTCTTATATTCATCCGATATTGTTCATATTATTATCATGCGTATTACCTAAACGCAACTTAAGAAACTCTTTATTTTCCGTTATTTTTGAGAGAAAATCGAAGAAAGATATTTTACGTCCGATGAATCGAAAAAATCGCCAAGATATGTTTTAGTTAAAATATTATATTATCATTAGTTGCGATACTGTAACCTTGTAATTGTAGTAATAACCGAGCCCAAGGCTTTGCCGTATATTTTGACACTCCATGGGAAGTTTTGACGAGCTGCATTTTTTTCAAACAAGTTTTGTTTTAAATAATCCTGGTGAGCTTTTTTTTATATACGTTATATATATAATAAATTAAAAAAAGACTTTAATATTAAATTTTAAAACATGTTGCTCATTTATTTCTAAAAGAATTACTCAAAGGGAAAAGGCAAAGAAACCTACCAAAAGTTTACAAAGCTGAAAAATTTAAGATATGAAAATATGCGGGAGTACTTTTCTTTGAGAATTTTTGTCACATAGACCATGAGATTTTTTCGAACTTTTCAAAAACAGGGACCAAGAAATCTCAGGCTGAATTTTTTTATTTCTTTTTTTCTATAGACTAGCTTGTGTAGAAATAAAACTTTTTTTCAAGAAGTTCGCCTAGTTGCGAATGGACTTATGATAAAATGAGAAATCTTCGACCGTTGTACCCTTTGCGGTCAGATCTCTGCGTAATAAATTCTTGGCTTAAAAATGTAATAATGAGGATCTGACCAAGAATAAAAATTTGTTGAATATATGTGTGTATATATATAGAGAGAGAGGATTCTTCCGAAATTATTGCGATATATTAGTAAAATGTAAACATTACATTTTTAATTGCCATGGTTAATTGGTACGGGCTAATTAGCAAGCATATAATCCAACGGTTTTATCTAATTAATGAACGGATTCTTTGAAAAATGCATTAAGGTCATCGAAAAATATTATTTTTTTTGAATCACGCAACCGCTGGATGCTACATTTATAGGTTCGTTATTCAAAGATAATTGGAAAGTGTTTGTTACATTGCACACATTATCGGTAACACAAAAATACGTGCTATACAAATAAAACCGAAACCCGGGATAAAGAGGTCATGCTGTTTCATAATAAACCGAGAATTTTTAACAAGGAACCTGGGTGCATAATAAAAATCAAAACTTGTTTTGGGTAATTGGAGGAACAAACCGCAGACTGCGCGGTGGTCAAAAGTTTGTTTTTTTAGGCCAGTTGCTTGATCTAGGTATAGAAACTATAAAACGAACGAGCTGACCTTTTTTATTGCAACTGAGGTTTCGATATGTTTTTATTATGTCTACCGACTTAAAACGAGACATGACATTAGTACTTTGGATTATGATAGTGTTAGCAACATGTTTGACATATTAAATCATATATTATTTGCATTGTGTCATTATTTGGCACTTACAAATTGCTCGATGGGGTAGTTTCTAAGTAAAAGGGTTTAGCAGGTTGTTGTCGATGTAAATTTCAAGATGTTATTTGCACTTTCTAGTGGCTAGTTTCTGAAACATAAACCTACCAACCTTTAAAATTGTTAATTAACTGCTGACCGCAAATAAAGTAAACCAGTCATTTTTACAAGATATCATACAGTCAAGGCATTTGGCAACTGCGCAAATGGTGCAAAATACATGTTTTGTATGAGGTTAGAACATTAGAACATCCTTATAAAGTACTCACCAACAGACTCACCACAAAGTTCGATAGCTACCAGGCACCAGAGCAAGCAGGCTTTCGCAGGGGATAGACCACTATTGAGCAAATTCAGAACGTCAGAACAATAATCGAAAAGTACAACATAAATATTCGCTATCGACTCCATTGTGTTATGGGCTATATTCCGAGCAACAGACAACACCAGTATAGATTCCAGATACAGAGATCTGTTGAAATATATATATGAAAAGGCTACATTACAAGTAAAAATCGGAGAAAGCTTATCAACTGGGTTGATTTCTGTCGGGAGAGGGGTGAGACAGGGAGACACTATTTCCCCGAAGCTATTCACACTGGCACTGGAAGATGTTTTCAAGCAGATCAATTGGAACCGCAAAGGCCTTAGGATTGATGGGCGATATCTATGTCTTCTCCGTTTTGCGGATGATACTGTGCTTATCAGCAGTAACTTGGGTGAGTTGCAAGGAATGCTCTCGGAACTCAAAACTGCTTCGGGAATGGTAGGTCTAACCATGAACTTAACGAAGACCAAAATTCCTCACACCACAAGTCACACAAATCCAGATAGGTGGTCAGATGATTGACAGGGTTGAAGAATACGTCTACCTGGGTCACCAAATATAACTAGAAGAGTCCGTATGACTTGAGCTGCTACTGGCAGGCTTGGTTTTAACCTTAAAAGCCCAGGGGGTCCCCATCAATCTGAAGTCAAAGGTTTTTAACAGTTGCATTCTCCCGGTTCTCACATACAGACTAGAGGCAATAACTCTCACTTCCAGAGGTGCTAACAAACTCCGAACAACACAAAGGGCAATAGAATGACTGACTCATGCTCGGCGTCAGCCTTCGAGACCACGTGAGAAACGAAGAGATCAGACGACGGACGAAAGTGGAGGATGTAATAGCGCGAGTTGCCGCAATGAAGTGGACTTGGGCAGGGCATGTTGCTAGACAGGACGACACTCGTTGGACAAAACATATTATGCAGTGGAGACCGAGACTGCATAAAAGAAGTGTCGGGCGACCCGTTAGAACATGGATGGACGATATTAGAGAGGCAGTTGGTCGGGACTGGCATCAGATCGCTAGTAACAGAGAAGAGTTGAAAAGAAGGGGGGAGGCCTATATTGAGGAGTGGATGTCATTGGGCTGATAAATAGAGAGAAGAACTCAGAATTGGCTGTCATTATACCAGAAGTCACTACGATGGCTGAGTGTTATGGCATATTATGCAAAAATGCGGTAAACAGAATTTGAGTCACGAGTTCATTTGGCACGAGCGGAGCACAGCGGAATCGTGTGATTAACACATGAGTGACACTATACTTTTTCTACGACCATTAGTTTTTGGGTACCGGTGCGTTAATATTACGCAAATGTCCGAAAGGGCTCGGATCCGTGGGACAAGAAACTCAAGTGGTAAAGTGACGCTTCCCGCATGCTAGATCGGCGTATCATTAGGTATTTTACACAAGCGAAAAGAAAATTTTTATTAAAGGCTAGCCCAGCCTTTGATAGGGAAAGAATAGGAGTAAGTAAGAAAATAATGGAAAAATGTCCAATATCTTTAAGTTTTTTAAAAAAGATGAAATTTGATGAAGAGAGATTTAGTATTGGGCAATAAAATAATCAGTCGCATATACTGATCAATTCAGTTTCGGAACATTTTTGATTCCTACATTTTTTGTGGATGTACGGCTGTATGGAGATACGGGAGTAGCTCTGTGGGGAGAGGGGTTATCAAATGTTTCAACTCCATGCATAAAACATAGAGATCAACGACCTCCAAATCCTAATGCAAAGCCGCATATATAGTTTAGATTGAGCCGTGTCGGGTATCTTAGGATAAATCTACGTTCGATATGTGGCATATCCCTAATCGCCAACCGGGGGTTGATGGTGCCAGTCGCAACCACCTATATATTTCCACGATGCCGGATAATATGAGGCTAATCCATAAATCTGCCAGTAAAAAATAACACAAGCGTTAACTCGCAACGTTGGTATTGTTTGAATAAACGAAACATTTTTTTAAGTCAGTAAATAAATGAAAGAGAAAATATTGGGAAAACTTTCTCTGCCTGACCTATTTCAATTACACTTTATGGCTGGCTTCACGAACCTGTAAATCAGTTCACGATTTTTAATTTCATCAGAAGAAGTGATGTCGATTAAAGCTTTTTAGTTATTTCAGTCACCGACAAATGTAAGGACCTTGGATTGTTTGAGAATTGAAATTGAGTTTGAAGAAAGTTTTAACTAATGATAACGGGATGGAGTGGTCAGGTTTGAAAGTCACGAATATTTATTTTCATCGAAACTAAAATGGTGGGTTTTAAAGTAAGGACAGTGAGGTACGGTAGTATGGTATTAGAAACTTGCAAAAAGATTTACTAACCTACAAAAATTTCTAATACTAACCATAGTTAAAGTGAGAACTGTTTTAAAGCTGAGACAAATTCCAATCTTTTTTGTTGTCAATGTGCGATTTAAAAAAGGCTTATCGCATTTCAATAAACTTGTAATCGTTAAAAAGGTCTCTCTCTAGGCTATCAATTTTTGAGTGACGCGATTGTGATTGTTTACCTT